TTAAAAAAAGAATTGTTAATTGTCACTAATTAAAGTCAAAAGTTATTTATAACTATTAAGTTGAAGATGCCATTTATGGATCCAAAACAGGTAAATTACGGCCACACCCTTAAGGTAAAGTCAAATTAGGAAAAATCCCCTCTTGTTTGAATAATTATAACCAGCCCCTCAATTATAAATCTTCTTACACGTCCTCCCTTATGGTGTCAAATTCAACATCATCTTCTAGATTTTGTAAAATGTTCTTTAGTTTGTACTCATTTTCTGTAAAAATGCAGTTTTTGATGCACCGAAATCTGATATTTACAAGCCAAGAGACACATCTTATGATCATCTTGTTTCAAAATATGAAGCTCGAATGTCATAAAACGAATACAAAATAAAAAAACATTCCACATAATCTAGAAAATTCCACTCAATTTGACACTTCAAGGATGAACGTGTAAGAAAATTCATAGTTGATGGATGATTGTAATTACCCAAACATAACGGGTTGTTTCGTAATTTGACATTACCTAAGGGTTTGGTCATAATTTACTCATCCAAAAAATGAAGGTTGACAATGGATTCCACTTTCTACGACTAGAAATCAAGAAACGCGTTCATTGAACTATCATGCAATAAGTGACATGCGACTACGACAGCATAAACACAAACTGCACACAATGTGCAAAATTTAGGTGGAAAGTTCAAGCAATTTATTTAGTGGGTTGTCTTCTCTCGTAGATCTACACTAAATTTAAGAAAGAAAAAAAAAAGTAATATTTAAATATTTATTTAAGAAAAAGGATAAATTACACCCACACCCCTGAGGTATGCTTAAATAACTTTAAGATCCCTGTGGTATCGATAATTACATTCACCCCCTGCAACGTAATTAGAAACTCTAACGGGATAATGCATTGGATATATTATTCCGATAGAGTTCTAATGGACTATTACTTTTAGCTAGTGGTGAAGATAACATAGAGTTATAGGAAGTTATGGGGTGACATGGCTCCCCCAATATTTATTAAATCACCCAATATTCCAATACATTATCCCATTAGGATTTATAACTACGGTGGTGTTTGCAAATGATTATTTAAAAGCAGAAGTTAGTGATTGTGATTTAAGTTAGTTTTAAGTGCTTATTTCTAAAAGTTGGGGGTGTTTGCAAATATTTCGGAAAATGAACTAAAATTGAAAAAACAGGGTTAGGGGTGCTTTTAAAAAAATAGCTTAAAACAGATTATTTTAAGAGAAGCAAAAGCAAAAGTTGATTTTGCAAACACCTAAAAACAGATTATGAGCAAAAAAAACCGCATAATCACTTTCAAAAAGCATTTGCAAACACCACCTACATTTCAAGGGGGTGTGTAATTATCGATACCACAGGGACCTTAAAGTTATTTAAGCATACTTCAGGGGTGTGGATGTAATTTACCCTAAAATATAATTGTCTTGAATCATCTGTTCTAATTGTGTGTATAGATTTTGACTGGATGCAAATTTATATGTAAATCAATCAATAAAGGGATATACCATCCAATCTACGAACGTAGAAGCCGTTATATAATCTGCCGTAAATACAGAATCATATGATTCGTAGAAAACGAAAAATTACTAGCAAGCTCCCAAAGAAACAATAACGGAAGCGATATTTAAATCGGGACTCTATTGTCGACATTAAGTGGTATATAACATTTACACCTAGTATTTCTTGTAATCCATATTACTCTACAACATATCGAAGCTTCTTATTATTCCTTCGTAATAACTATTTTGTTTTAACTCCAAAAAGTTAGGAGCCCAACGGGCACCACTAACTTGATTGACTGCTTCCCGTTTACTCGACATGATATTCTATAATAGCTCCATCAATTGATGTGCAACATCTGCATCAAAAAGTCAAGATTATTGAATTTTCAAATATAAACAAGTATCACATATCCGAAGAAGATTGTGTAGAACTAGAGGATTTTTTAAGATTCTGCAAGTCGAATTTATTGTCCATTTATGGGCTGAAAACAAGGTTGCTTCCCGGTTCTTTCTTTTTCTTTTCGACGAGAAAAAAAGTGGGGAAAATGACTTCATCCAAATATAGTGCCATATTCATGTATCTTGAGGCCTCGTTTGGTTGGGGAGATTAATCAGAATTAACTAAATAATTGGACTTTGTTTGATGTTTGGTATCCCCAATAACTTGCCGGGTCGACCCGGAAATATTTATATGAATTACAATCGTATAACCGTCACAAGTATATGATGCTTACCTCTGAGTACGGAAGGTGGTGTATGGAACCCGTTCCAAACATTATGGCATGAAGGAAGATTCATGTTTAGAAATTTGGCAGCAAGGTATGCAGCTCCTGCAGCTATCTGGTGAGGCTTGAACTGAAGCCATAGTGAACTTCTAAGCCTGCAAAAAAAAGTAAAATTTAACTTAGAAAAAATGTGAGAGACGTACTCACTATCACGCCTCGATAAAGCAAACAGATAAACAAAACAAACCATTTGGGGCAACACCTAGAACCGAACTGACATGGTTCGATGCTGACTGCATGTTATTTGCCATAATCACAGAACCGTTATGCACAGAGGTTAAGATATGCTATGAAACAATCATCCTTACGTAAGAAATGACGATGAAAGAAAACCAACACGATTTTTCCCTTACCAACAAATAAAGGCAGCAACTGAGATGGAAAAATCGAAGATTTCTTCAGCAGAAGTACGTTGATTGAGTACTCTAATATAGACAATATATTACCAACACCATGTTGATTTATATGGGCATACAAGCAAGCTAAACCCTCGCCAAGCAAGGCTTGTTCTCCTCAAAATCTGACAAGAAAAAGCCTTGCGATATGCAAGAAAGTCTCCATGCCCTCGACTTATTGAAATAGATTCTCAAAGAACTCCCACCGTATGTTTCATCCGTAGATATATGATATATGTGACTTCGAAAACTAGTCTCAAGGATGACATACATAAATATCAAAATATTTGAATTTTCATGCAACTTTTAAAAAGAAAACTTTTTTCATCAACATGAAGGAATTGGAGTAACCAGAAAAATAGTACCGCACTACATCTTGGAATAGAAAAATAAGTATGAAAAATCACTTAGAACATGGACAATTAACCATTGGTGGATAAAATGGTTCCTGGCCTTCATCTAAAAACAACAGCCAACCCAATGGAAGTAAGATTCCTAAAAATCAACAAGGCATGATTGTTTTATGCTTCTTACAAGTCCCAATAGATGTATGTAAATGTGTGTCTCGGTGTGTGTGTGTGTGTGTGTGTGTTTGTGTGTGTGTGTGTGTGTGTGTGTGTATAAAATAAAACATGTAAATTACAACCCCATAAATACTAAGAAAGGAGACTTTTGAGTGTATTCCTGTACCTATGTTGGAAAACTATAGTCTTAAGACTATGCATTTATTCTTCTTTTCCCATTTTCATCTTTTGTTTTATCCAGCTATAATATCGAACTTTATATATGCATGTATTGTATGTACCACTACTAATACAAACCATGTAAATGCCTACAAAATTAAACCTTAGCCATCACAAGCAGCTCCTTCCAAAATGCATTAGAAGACTAAAAGTGGTTCTTCCCATCCCATCACTCTTTCAACAAGATGTCAAGAAAGAGAACTTGAATTATAAAGAGACTCCCGAATGATTATCCGGGACACATATTAACCTAGGCTCAAGTATAAGATCCATCATAGAAGAGCATGCAAAAAAAAAAATCACTTCCAGACAACTCAGTTAACTCTGCAAATTCAGTCAGTTATTGCTTTTTCTTTTTCCAGGAAGGTTAAGGACAGATATTTGTGACTGTGGATAAGCTTTTCAACAATACGTGAAAAAAGAATATTTACTTTCGGAAGCGTAGATAAGAAGGTCAACAGCGATGTACCCAAAGATCCAAGAAGTAAGATTAGAGTTATCGAGAATCAGAAGAAAATTTCAAAATTCAAGTTTTGAAGCTGAATTAAGTAGTAATAAGAAAGGTAAGGAAAAAAAATTGGGAGATTGTTTAGGGTGGTTTGGAAACAAGGATAACCTTAATCTGGGTGTGCAGGGAAGGTGGGAAATTTGAAGTGAAAAATCTGTAAGAGTCGAATGCAAATGTTTTTAGTAAGTGAGGGTAGTCAGCACAATCACAGTTGGGTGGGTCCCACATAAGAATTCCTACGTGAGCACAGATCAAGATTTCCGAATGCATAAAATTAGTTTCACTCATCCATGATCTATCTTCTATAGCCAATGAGCATGTCATTAAGGTGTCAGCATGGAAAAGGCATCCCACAAGCTATCTCTAGTTCAACTTCAGATGAAAAAACAAAACATTTGATGTACAGCAAATCAACCGCCAGCTATAAATATCATAAGGGTGAGCACGCTAATCCTCTACAGACCCTGCAATTATACGCCAATCTGAAACATCAACACACATGCCAGGATTGATTACAGATTAAAGGAGACAAAAAAATAGCACTACAAAGTGGCATGCACTTCAAGATGCAAAAGACTATAAACTTAATAACTCAGAAAACCAAAATCTGAAGCGCACATCGTCACCTCTAAAATCATCACTTTAATGTAAATGGTCAAAGTAGAGGACTTACCCTTCACTGACCAAGGTCAATGCCAGGTTCCCCAAATTAGATTGTGAAAACCCTATTTTTTCAAGCGTGGATGTCAGAGATTCGTACGGATGCTCCACATTTAGCTCAAAATTCAAGGTAGTTAAAATCAACTGTTCGGCCTCCATTATCCGTTCACGGTATTGCCCGAACCAATCCTGTGCAAACAAAATGAATCATAAAGCACATGCAGCATGATAAGTAATAGCTCTAATTAACATTCAGATAATACAGAAGAATGCAACTAGAAATATGTATGCCCATACACAGAAGAAATCATTCAAAGTGCACTAAACAGAGCATATAAAAAGTGATTTTTAAAGAAAAGAAAGAAAAAAAAAAAACATATATCGCAAAAATGTGCTTGTGCTCGACTTTGATAATTGTGATGCATTATTGGACTCTCTTAACAAGCAGTAAGACAAGCATATGTGGAGCGCAGAGAAAATGAGAAGAGTGAGGAATACTAACAATTGGGAGTATATACGAGAGAACGTGGAACTGCTGCCCATGGAAAATTTCACACGACAATCTTAGTACATCATCAAGAGGGCGTGATGTCTCCTCGGACTTTGAGGTAAGGAAAAGCGCAGCAGTAGCTATTAACTGCATCAGTAAACATTTCAGCTTATTAGATTTTGTCTTCAGGAAGCACAAAATTTCAACAATTGATTTAAAAGACGGAAATCACAGAATGTATTGGTTATAGAACGCAAACTTACAAATCTATCGTGGGAGGCATGAGAACGGCGAACAAAGAAACGATGGCACAGAACCATGGCAGTTCCGATAGTGGTTTGTGGCCTGCAAACAAATTCAAAACTTAACATATAAAAATAACAACTCTTATAAAAAAAAAAGATATAGTACAATAATTCTCCATCTCCAACTTCACTTAAATATTCCTCGAGACAAAATATCTTACAGGTCAAGCCGGAGTCCAAGGTTCTGAAGGAAGCCACAGTACGAGTACCGCAAACACGTCTCTTGCAGCACATCGATGCCATCTTTCCTCGAAGGAGAGCATCGCTCTATCTCATCTCTCGACATAAACAAGACTTCATCTTCATCCTCAAACTTCGAGCGATCCCGTTTGGAGCTAGTAGTTGCAGCATAAGGACTGACATCATCAGAGCCGGTTGCAGCAAAAACAGCCGAACTGTTGCCACGTGCTAAAGGGGCATTAGCATTGAAGGATTGAATTTGAGGAGGTGCATATTGCCTCAATTCAGCATGATTTTCAAGACCATTTCTGCATGCGAGTTGTGGTTGTTGATAGGGTCTCCACGTGCTGTCATAAGACAAATCCGAGACCTTTCTCCTTTTCGAAGGAGGCACGACACCTGGATAAACACGGTCGTAATTGTGTCCGTCCAGCATCAAGTTTCGAGACAGGTCACTGGAGAAACCGTGATTGTTTATACCGAAATCTAAATTGTAGGGGTGGCTGTCGTAATTCCAGCTGGAGTTTATAGCAGCGGCTGTTGCTCTCAGGCCTGCACTACTGTTTCTACCATAAGATGACTTCCCATCACTGTGAAAATGACCATCTCGCGGCCTATAAGTCTGTGCGAGAGACATAATTGCTGTCTGATAACCTGGAAATTGATTTTTTTTTTTTTTGCAAGAATCAGATACACAGAATAAAAGCTACAAAATTACACTCCCAAAAACAATAAATTGTATGATGCGCATACGAAATCAAATTCAATCGCCACAAGAAAAGCTATTCCAGTTGCATACAAATGACAAAAGAGAAAAGCTTCAAATGATAGAATCTGTATTCAACAGGTAAATCAATTAACGAAAAACAAAAACAAATTGTACCTCAACAAAAGGGCGTAGATTCGAGATCAAGGATCTGAGATACAGTGGCCCGTGAATTTGGGTGATGAACGACGAATTGTTGATGATTTAATTTGTGATTAGGGTTAGGGGAAAAGGAAAAGAGGGGAATAAAGAGAGAGAGATTATTCTTTCTACAGTTTGGAGTAAAAAACAATATTGGAATAGAAATGGATTTATCTTGGGATAAGTTTCGTCAAAAAAACATAATATTCCCATAATTTGAACTGGATTCGAAGATAGTACAAGATGTTGGGAATATTTGACCATAGGTTAAAAAAATTGACGGGAAAATTACATTTCCCCCCCTCAAGTTTGTAATAATTACACATTTGGTCCTCCATGTTCACCAAAAAATATATTTGGTCCCTCATGTTCAATGATTCAACTTTTTTTGTTATTTCTGTCGATTTACCGCTAGTCCGCCACTTAAGGCAGTGACGTGCGCATGCTTGATTCCGTTAGACTAACTGAAAATTGACGGAATCGACTAACAATATTGATTGTATGAAATATTAGGGACCAAATGTGTTTTTTTTTTTTGTGAATATAAGGGACTAAATGTGAAATCAGTGCAAACTTAGATTAAACGGTGTTTAGGTCAAAGGTCTGAAAACTAACGGCGAGAGCCACATTGAATCAATTTTTCAAGTACATGGGGCAAATCGATGCAATCGAGAGTATATGAGGGTAAAGTGATATCGAGCCAAAGTACAAGGGGGAAAGTGGAATTTACCCCAAAATAAATGGGCTTAAAAATTAGGACTGTACATCTGGCTCTTTTGCCCAAATGGGCCTGCCTATTTTCCATTCAAATTCTGGGCTCAAAAGAATATCAGTCTCAGAAATTCAAGAAAAACATTAACCATAAAATCAAATAAATAAATAAATAAATAAATAAATACACCAATATATCTCAATTTCATACATTATATTATATATTTTCCCCCTTCCTTTAATGGGAAAGTTGTTACCAAATAGTAAATACTATATATAGTTGTGGAAAATTAATTAAATTGGAAATAGTACACCTGCACTATTCAATATTGAACTCTTATGTACTCCAGACAGCTAACCCAATTACTAGAAGCAGTTATATATATATATATATATGTGCGCTATTAATTTCACTATTCCGAGAAAAGGACTACTCGGTTATTTCTATGCTTCACCTGGTGGATTTTTACCGGTGATCTACATGCACCAATGTGGGTGTGTGCGTGTTTGTGTGTATACGAATGGCGCGTATTTCACCGGGTGTCGAGAAAAAAGTTGAACATTCATTAATAACTATAATAATTACCAAACTGGTCCCGGCCCCCATTTTTTTTCACTGGTTTGGTTGTCTGATCCTAATTAACTATTTTGCTGCTATTTATCTTTCTGCTCTCTTATTTCAAATTTGTATCTATGTATCTATATATGTGTGTGTGTGTTTGTGTGTGTGAGTGTGTGTGTGTAGTAGCTCTTTATTTTGTGACAAATCTGTCAGAGATTTGAAGCTTCTTTCTGCATAATGTTCAGCATTTATATATATATATATATATATATATATATATATATATATATATTGAAATAATGGAACTTAGCTTCCTTTAATTAATCCAAGTTGAATCTAACTAGGGCAATTGGCAATGTATATTAATCAATAAAAAAACTCGGCTAACAATTTTAAACGACACTTATTTTTACTTAGATTTTAACTGTCGTATACTCGTATTGATCTTGAACAACTCGAGCTTCAACGTTAACAATTTTAAACGACACTTAATTATATTTTACTTACATTTAAGTACTGTCGCCGTATGCTCGTATTGATCTTGAACGAACTTTTAAATATACTGAAATAATTGGCACATTCACAACCAATGTATTTTCTTGATTTAATTCACTTTTTCTTAATTATTGTTATAATCATAACGGCTAATACACTTAATGAAAGGTCAAAGATTTTTATATATATAAATACATAAATATATAAATATAATCTAGGCTGTCCTAAAAAAATAATATGCCACAACATATTTATATATCATTAAAAAGATTTACCCAATGTTGGGTTAGCTGTCTGGAGTACATAAGAGTTCTCTAAATCTTAATGCAAGATTTTCGACAACACGAAATGACAATAATGCCCCTTCCATGAGGGGTTAATGAAACCATATGTGCAGTTGATGAGTTATTCTTCGAAGGGCAGCGATGTAATTTGACAGCCTACGTGTTTTTCTTGATTTTGCAACTCCTCTCACATGGGATGTAATTAGTTTCATGTGATGATCACATGCTCTCTATCACTTCTCCCATGTTATTATCATCTCTGTTAATTATTATTAGTGTTAATTACATTAATTAATTAATTAATTAATGACTAACATCTCTCCTCTCTCTCTAATCTTTGTCTAATTATTCAACACTCTTAATGAAGTGTTCTTTTTAAATTTCAACACAAATTAAAAAGTTTAAAAGCAATATGTTTAATTAATTTCGGGTGAATTGCGTTTTGCAACCGAAAAACGACACTAAAAATGCGACATTTTACATAAAATTACGGGCTTAATTAGCGGGTAATTATTAATTAAATAAATTAATTATATATTCTCCATGATAATCCATGCAGTATCATGCAACACAACTCAAATCCCATCTTAAACATCATTAGTTCAGACAGCTACGTACAGCTCCATCATTAATTAAGGACGACGTGCATTATATACTATTATATAGGTTTAATTTGTCTATAGTTATCCTAATTAATTTATTGTTAATTCAATTAATTAGGGTGTGGCCACCTATCTAATTATATTAATTTCTTTGACTTGGAAAAAAAATTATTACATGGTCTTAATCACTTTATTGTCGTGCACGTTTTTATCTTAATGAATCTATTTTCACGCTTTTCAAAAAAAAAAAAAAAAAATATATATATATATATATATATATATATATATATATATATATATATATATATATATATATATATATATATATATATATACAAGCTTCACTGTTTTGGTTAGCTCGAGCTCGAGCCAGTGTCATTTTGTGTCTTTTTATTTATTTATTTAATATTATTATAATTTTATTATTAGAAATTATAATGAAAAAAATTCAAAATTAAAAAAAGATCTCTAATTTATTTTTTTAGTTGATTTATGAATTTGCTATTTATTTTGTATTAATTATATTTAAAATAAAAATTAAAAAATAAATTAGATTAAAACTTAAAAAAAAAAAAATCGTGAACCTGCTCGCGATCTCCCAAACAACTAAAAATAAGTCCGGACTTGATTAGTTAGAAAACTCGAGCTCGAGCTTGTGTGTAGCCAGCTCAACTCATTTACACTCGTGGAATAGACTAGCCATTAATAATTGAACCAAGTTGAACATTTGAACCAGCTCAAATTGTCTACACTTTACATAATTTATGGTATTAATTAGTTGATATTAATTTGTTTACTACTACTACTACTAGCCTAAGTGTTAGACTCCTTTTATTCAAACTAGACTTAAATTAAAATTCAAACAAAAAAACTTTGGTCAAATTCAATTAAATTTGAACATCATTATTACATAAGGAAATAGGGGTTGCATTGCAACTTTAAGCCATGGCCGTAAATTAATTTCTTTTTTGCAGCTACATAAATATAATTAAATTACTCAAAAAAAATTAAAATTTTAAATCAAAGGAATTATTTTGTCGTTTAGCTGGGGAAGAGGTTGTCCACGTGGTGTCCCCTAACTCCGTCAACAACCTTAGCTAACTTTGTTTCAACTTAACCAGACCACACTCTGTTTTTTTATTCTCACCGTCCATACTCCATAGTACATTTACTACATTATACACCCACATGATTAATAATTATAAATTATAAATAATAAAATAATTAAGGGTAAATTCAGAAAACTCATGAACTTAGGTTAAATAATGAAAAACACCACACCTATTCATAATTACCAAAAGCCTCCTAAAGTTTGTTTCCGTCTTACATCAACCCCTTACAGTATGACTTTTCACGGATTTTGTTTTGTTCCATGGAATAGGCTTTACACAATTTCAGATATTTTCGTTTATTTGCCACCTGTTTAACAGAAGGTATAATAGATTGTACACAATTTTGTGTTAAAAACTCGATCAACAGTTAATCAGATGAGGATTTTGGTTATTACGTATAGATGGGGGCATTTTTTCGTTATTTAGCCTAATTTCATGGAGGGTTTCGTAATTTACCCAAATATTAAAAATTAGAAATTAAAAAAATAGATAAATAAAAACTAATATAATTAAGAAAAAATAAAAATATCCATAATCAAAGAGTGAAAAAGAGAAGCATCTTCTTCCCTTCACTCCTCTTTATAAACTCATGCACACATGTCATAAAACACACAGTACACACACCAACAAATTAAACCCCTCACACACATGTCCTAAAAACACACACACTATACACCACCACCACCGCCGCAAATGGTCTCACAAGAAGCCCTCGAATCAACATGCGGCGGCGCCGCCACCGCCGAGCCCACAATCTCCGGCCCCCGCATTTCCTTCTCCACCGAGTTCCTCGACGAGAACGACTTCATCTCCATATGCCCCAACCGCCACCCACCGGAGAAGAAGCCGGAAAACCGCACCACCGCCGCCAGAAACGGCCCAGAGTTCGAGTTCCTCTCCGGCAACTCCGCATCCAACATGACCACCGCCGACGAGCTCTTCAGCGAGGGCAAAATGCTTCCCTTCTGGCAAACCCACCACCAGTACTCCGAAACAACACTCAACAAGTTAAAAACAGACACCACCACCAACATCGCCGCCGGCCAAGCGGCCGCCACCGCCGGCGCCGCCGCCGAACAGGACAGAAGAATAAGCTGGTTTCTGGACGACGACCCATCGCCGAGGCCACCAAAATGCACAGTGCTATGGAAGGAGCTTTTGAGGCTGAGAAAACAACGTCCGTCAACTCTATCTCCTTCTTCTTCGTCTTCTTCGTCTTCTTCCGGAAGATCCGCCATAGCTGATAATATTCCGACAGCAGCAGATGAACAGAGGAAAATAAAAGGGGTGGCGGCAAATATAAATAATAATAATAAAGTTGCGAGTAGCAGCAGCAGATCAACGGTGAAGAAAGGGCTGGAGAGAACAAGATCGGGGAGTAATAGTATAAGAATAAGGCCGGTGGTAAATGTACCCATTTGCACACAGGTTAAAAGCTCCTCTTTGCCTCCACTTTTCCCCATTAGATCAAGAACTAAATTACTGAGTTGACTCAGTGATTCATATTGTAGAAAATGCTGTTGTTTATTTGGTTTTTTTTTTGATTAATTTGTTTGTATTAATGATTTCATGTTTTTCTTTTAAATGGTGTTTATTGATTAGGGTTTTTTGTTATTACAATTTGGGTAAAAAAAATCTGATGAATTGCATGTAGATGGTGTTGTTGGTTTTTTTTTTTTTTTTGCTTGCCTATAATTAATTAATTAATTAGTAATAAGATGATTCTTGATATATGATTAGGAAGCATGATCCAGAAAATATGGAAGACCTTCTCAATGTTTGGGCATAAACACAAAAAAAGATTCTTATTGCTTTAATTATTGATCATCTTAAAGTTATCAACTTATCATTAACTTTGGCTAAATTACGGTCACTCTGAAAGTAAGATCAAATTACGAAAATACCCCTTATATTTGGGTAATTACAACCACTCCTTCACTGTGGATCTTCTTAACTACGAAAAAAAAACCCTTCTCAAGGAGATTCGGGTTTGAGATTCATAGGATCGTGCAACGGGCTAATACTCGTCGCTTTAATATATTCGTTAATTTTATGGAACCCTTCAACCAGAAAAGTTATCAAGGAATTTGAACCTCCCTTTATCGACAATGAAACAAATCTACGTGGTTTAATATATGGATTTGGGTACGACTAGTCATCCACCGACGAGTACTACAAGGTTGTCTGCATTGAAAACCGGTCACATCCCTACAAGACACATATGTATAGTTTCAAGACCGGTTCTTGGAAGAAAATCGAGAATTTCAACAAGGGTCATCTGCGAAACTGCAGTCGCCCGCCCAAGTTTGCGAATGGAAGTTTACATTGGTTGGCTGGAGAAGAGGGCAAGTACGTAATTATCTCTCTTCATTTATCGGAGGAGAAGTTTCGTAATGTAGTGGCGCCTCCGATATAATGCAATAATGATCGTACGTTACTAAATTTCGAAAATTTTGGGGGGCTATCTTAGTTTGAACGGTACCAAGATGTCTACGTTGGATATATATATATATATATATATATATATATATATATATATATATATATATATATATATATATATATATATATATATTGAATCATCAAGAAGATACAAGAAAATTCAGACAGGAAATTTACAGGAAAACTGTAGCACTAATCGACATCTATAGTAAATGTATCCTTAATACATGATATACAACCCTAAATATAATAATATACAAACTAAATAAAAAATAAAAAATAAAAAATAAAAAATAATATTGCCACAAATTTGTCTGTTAAGAGGTGCAGAATGAACACTTCCATTGATACAAAAAATAAGATTAAAACAATATATATAATTGCTTTTATAATAATTCAATCGCTGATCTCGACAAAAAAATAAAATAAAAATGTGTTTGAGCGAAACGAACCGTACGATGCCTTGGATACTTGAGCAAAATTCTTTTCGTAATATCTCGTATGAAGATGGAAGAATGATCTTATGAAGGTGGTGGTGTCAAAAATGGATTTCCAGGAGTATATCTAATAGAAAAAAAAAAGTCGATCAATTTTAAGAAAAAAAAAGTCGACTGTAAGAAAAATGAACACTAAGTTCGAAAGACGAAAGTTACCTTAGTGTCAATCCAGGTTTCGAGATAAGGTTGCTCGGGATTGAACCCGTTAGATTGTTGTTCTGTAAGAAGCTGACCACATAAAAACAAATATTAAAATCATTAAAACGAAAAATAAATAAAATTGAAAAAATTCAAAAGCCGATGAGATTCGAACTTACAGCTCGCGTAAATATTGTAAGTTCCCCAGAGATGGAGGAATTGTTCCACCTAGATGATTGTCTTCCAAATGCCTGAAATCGAAAGTGGAGCATATTAAGCAAAAAAAAAAAAATTAAAAAAAAAAAAGATGTTACGATAATTTCGGAAAGACGAATAATAGATATCATCACTCACAGAATCTCCAATCCCTTCAATGGACTAAAGTCCGGGATCGTTCCGTGCAAGCTGTTGTTTCCAAGGAAGCTGTCGACAAAAATAAAGAAAAATCGATCAACGAAAGAAACATTTATCTTAAAAAAAAAAGATTGTGTAATATAATTCGCTCACATGCTAGTCAGTGCTGTCATTCTGGTAATAAGATGTGAAATCGATCCCGACAGACCCATGCTCGTCAAATTCCTGTCCCGAAATAAAAAAAAACGAGTTAGATAATGTTTTGTAGTTTAGAGCAAACAAAATAAATAAAAAATAGAAAAAAATTATTTAGAAAGATCCAACTTACAAAGATACCACACGAATTCGCCTTCCTTCAAGACAAGTAACTCCCGTCCACGGATATTGACTCGGTAAACACGGATCACCGTGCCAATCAGCCGGAGGGTTCCGGAAACTGCTTCTCAACTCCATCATAGCAATTACTGCAAGGAAAAATAAATAAATAAACAAATAATAGAGTCGCACACCGATAACAGAGAATTATATATAGGAGCAGAAACCGTACCATCACGCGGAAGAGTTTTCGCTCCGGCAGGAAGAACTTGAAAAACCTCGCCAGCATTAATCAGTGGGCCCATAGTCGAACCAGGAGCAGGAGTCAAGGTTAAATTCGTAATTCCGTCAAGTGGCCACCGGCTGGCAAACACAACGACGCCAGCTGGCGCCACGACCAAGTTGTTGTAATAAGGAACACCGTTTATGCTAATGTCCAATGTTCTCGGGCTCACCGTTTGATCGTCCGCAAAGTAGAGATATATAGAATAATTATATTGGGGGGTAACGGGGCCCGCGGGCCAAAGTAGTGTCAGGGGCTCGGCGAGCCCTTTTGACAGACGTGTCTGAAAAACTTTTGCGGGCGGAAGGTTCCAGATACCCGAGACAGCTAGGTTTCTTGAACTTGATTGGGGGAATGCGTCTAATCCAAATGGCTCCCAATATCGATTGAATTGATCATCTGGAAATCTGGATTGAGTAAAAAACGATATGCCTAGTGAGTAATCGTACGTTTGATGAAACTGAAATGATAAATGCCGTTTCAAATTTTACGGGAATTGTAATCCAAGATTTTGTATGCATGACATTCTCATCCAACACCCGATTTAGCTGACTCAAGTTGGATTAGAAAACGAACTCAAAGGACTACAAATTTAATGCTATGAGTTTTGCCAAATTTGGACTTAAAAAGGGTTGAAATCACATTTGAAGGTGGCTCGTTATTTTTAAAATTATGAACGGTAACAATAAAATTGGAACGACATTTAATTTAGCATCTCCGTTGATCATATCCAAAAAAAAAAAAAAAAGAAAACTGATTGAGTCAATCGACACGGAACTTAGTAAAGTAAAAAGAGGGCAAAAGACTCACCCTATGACTGGTCCATCATATCCGAAGCTGTTTCTTGACACCAAACTGAAAGCAAAAGATTTAAAATCGGTGGAATTGTACAACTGATCCCACAAAGGCACAACCTCTAAAGCAGAAATAAACGGGTCTGAATCGGTGTACACATTTGCAGCCAAACACACACTCAAATTCTTCCCCGTAGGCATAAAAACACCTTCGTAATAACTCAAATCCCCAATGGCGTATTCATCAGTTGTGTTCACCACACTCCAAAATGTCCCATCAACTATTTGATCAAAAACAGGGGGGTTACCATTTCCATTTACTCCACCGTAGTAATATGTGGTCCTGACCAAATGTTTCATCGTACGGCGTTCATTGACGGGAATTTCGTAGCAGAACTTCTTGAATAGGTTGTCCTGGAGAGGAAATGTACGGACAGTGGCAAGGGTTGGGACAAGTCCTTGTCTTGCAATATTCTTGGAAGTCCCTGTGGATATGTAGCCTGTGTCTGGAACCCATTGCAGACCGTTTAACGAGAGCCCATCATTACTTCCGCAATCGATAAATACACCTGCCAAAAAAATCACAGAATCAGCAAAAAGGAAAACCCCGAAAAACTAAAAGAAAACACCAAAGACTTGATTTTTAATGGTCAAAATGCAAGCACAGATCAAAATTTCACAAGAATTCAATTGGGTTGTCTTTAAAGTTCACCAAAAAAAAATAACAAGCAAGAACCCCCAAAGAAAACACCAAAGACTTGATTTTTAATGGTGAAAACGCAAGCCCACGTCATAATTTCCCAAGAATTCGGTTGAGCTATACTCAAAATCAACCAAAAACGACAAATGAAATAACAAGCAAAACCCCCCAAAGTAAACACCAAAGACTTGATTTTTAATGGTGAAATGCAAGCCCACATCATAGTTTCCCAAGAATTTGGTCGAGCTATACTCAAAATCAACCAAAAACGACAAATGAAATAACAAGCAAAAACCCCCAAAGAAAACACAAAAGACTTGATTTTTAATGGTGAAAATGCAAGCCCACATCATAATTTCCCAAGAATTCGATTTGGCTGTCCTCAGAATCTACAACAAAAAAAAAAAAAAAAAAAAAAGAATAGCAAACCCTAAAACCCCAAAAGAAAACACCAAAGACTTGATTTTTAATTGTAAAAAAGGCAAGCCCAGATCAAATGTTGCCAAGAATTCGATTGGGCTGTCCTCAAAATCAACGAGAAATGACAAAGAAAAGAACCCCAGACAAATAAAAAAAAAAAGAAGAAGAAGGAATTGGTTTTAGTTTACCTCTGGAGGATTGAGAAAAGGAAACAGGCAGCTGGAAGAGGAAGAGCAGGAAGAGGAAAGGGGTGAACATCATCGTCACGGTTGATTAATGCTGCTAAGAAAGATGGACATGGAAGAGAGAGAAGATCGAGTCTTTAGAGAGAGAAATAGACATTAAAAAAGAATTTGAATGGAGTTGATAACAGAGAGAGGGGGAGTTGAATGGGTCAGGTATAAGGGTGAATTGTGCAAGAAAGAGATGAAGTTGGTGAAGAGAAAAGAATATAAAAGAATGGCAGAGAGAGAGAGAGAGAGAGAGAGATACTTTGTTTATTAACGCGGGAAACAAAACCAATTATACCGTACCCGGTCAGAGCAGCAGGCGAGATTGTTTTTCAACTGTTTTGCATTATATAATTAATAATTAATAATAAATTAAAAGTATGGACTTTCATTATGGTTTGATTACTGATTACAATTAATGAAATGAATTTAATGCATCTTCTTATCATTATTTGAATAAATCTTATATTAAATATGTATAATGTTTAATAAATTGTTAGTTTCTTTAGGACAACGGCGGTGATGCTGTTGGCTAAGCTGGTTCAGGGGTTCAGTTGGGCGGTGCCGCCGAGGGTTGACTTGGCTGAGGCGGAGAGAGATTTGCTGATGTCTAAGCCGTTGATATTTATATACTAGTATATATATATATATGTCACTTGTCCAAAATTTGTCATGTTGTACCAATAATAATAAATTAATGGATAAATTACACCCAAACCCCTGATTTAAGATCAATTTACAAAACACCCATCTATAACCCTCCAACTACCTATTTTCTTATGAAAAAAGCCTCCTTTTATTGGTAAGTTTGACACTGTAAAATTGAACATGTAGGACAATACATAGTTTAGGGATGTTTTCACAATTTAACATTACCTTAGGGGTTGGCCGTAATTTGACCAAACTTTAATAATGTCACAATTTTTATTTTATTTTATTATACTTTCTTTTCATTCTTGTAAAACAATAATCATTATACTTTCGATTTATTATTAAAATTGTCAATAACAATCTGATTAACAATAATCATACATCTCAATTAATAGTATTATTGGTCAAAACCATTATTTTTCTATTTAGTAACTACCTAACAATAGTTATTACCAAATGGATTCATAACATAGCGAAAACCATCAAAATTTAGAAAGCACATACAACAATTTTCTTTCGTAAAATTTTGCCTCGTCAAGATCGACTAGCTTCAGAATTTTGGGAGGAAAAAAGAACCGAGCATACCTATTCGAAGATGTCCGATTCTCAGCCAAGTTCAAAAACTACTGATATCTCTTCGACACACGACTAATTGGCTCTTGAAAATACTGGAGAGAAATGAAGATTGCTTCCTCCGTTCGAATAGTTCTACTTCCTTGATTAGGACACGTGTTTAGATATGAGTCAAACATGTCCCTCACATTTTTCCCCTGCAATTACACAACATTCTTGAATTTTTTAGTGTTCGCCTAAATTTTCGCCGACTTTTTTTTAAGATCAAAAGTTTATTAGAGGGGTTTTTAAATGAAAAATACCTTCAAATTATCATCCTCTTCGACACACTCCTCCAATCCCGCAAGTCCGCCAAAAGCAATTAAAAGATGCCTGAATGATGGTAGAGAAAGCTCTGAAGAAGTAATAACTAAGCCATGTTCGGAGGTACCTATTCGATGATCATATCCTCCCTGTCAAATGAAATAATTAAAAAAAAAAGGTGAGTGAAAAAAAAAAAGAAAGAACAATGAAAATTTTATTAAACGTAAAATTATGTTATTGACCTTGTATGGGCATTTATTGAATACTGAACTAATGTTGGGAGCGTATCGCACTTTATACCCCCAGTACATTCCATCTTCTCTAGGCCGAGAAGAAGGGACGATTTTCCTTGGACCTGCAACATTCTGGATTTTATTAGGGACAATTTAGACTTTTCATGCTTTTGTGATGTGGCTAATAAAAGAGGGCTACTCACCTGCATCTAGACTACGGTTCGTTCCCATCTCTACTGTTACTCTTGTTCCAGGTTCAATTACTTCGTCGATCATTACATTCTGCATACGAAGGCCTTTAAAAATCAGTTTTAAAGTAAAGAAAATAAAATTATGAGGCGATAAATGAAATAAAGAAAATGGACATAGACAAGAAAAGATGATACCTTGGTAAGGCCTACATCAACAGCGGTCCCCACAGAACCTCGATCTTGCTTTTCCCGTGTGATGCCTACAAGGAAGATATCAATGGATTAATTACACCCAGATAAAGGAGATTTCTCTTTTTCACACTACATTTCACAAGATTATATACATACAGAAAGAGTAACAAATTACTTCATAATATATTAACCACTCAATGTTCAGCGAAACTAAGCAAGAAGGAAATTCAGTGAAAATAATGTAGATGAGAAAAACAAAATCTAGGTCTGAAATCAAAAACTAACTATATTGCTTGGGATGGGAAAAGTCAAGGGCATCAGCAAAATATATTATCGACATCAACTTACCTGAAGTTCAGCGATCAAGTGTAAGCCATCATATGCCCAGACTTTATCCAATTTTCAAGAAAAAGACTAATAAAATGTGTATAAATTTAAAAATAGGTTCATAAACACTTTCTACCCAGGCAAAACACGAGAATGACATACAACTATCTAGTGTGCATATCCAATACCCAAACAACTTATATAGGGTGCAAAGTAATGAGCATCAGGAATTCAAATTTGTCAACAGGAACTTACCTGAAAATTCAGCGATCAAGTGTATGCCATCATTTGCACAGACTTTGCACCATACATATGAACTATTTGGATTTAGATAGATGGTTTACCTACATAATAACTAAAAGAGGTTGGAGACTAAAACTTAGTTTGACCATATTGCAAATATATCCAACGAAATAAATCATAAAAAAGAATCTAAAGCACACGATTATATATCGAAAAAAATACCGACATATATATACACGATTAATGCATGACCAAAACACAAAATATTTGAATAGTCAAAGCACATGAAACACTGTTTCTCAAACTAATGCATAGTAAATAACTAGAATGGGTTTTAGGAATGTTACCTTCTCTGTACAAACCCCATTCATGTTTACGCAAATGATGCGGGGCATCAAGGGGTGGTAAAAGACCCTGCAGAAATGCAAAAAAGGGTTTTGAAAAACCGTTCCAAAACTGAAACTATTCTCTGCAAAAACGCTGATGTAATAACTGATACTCACCACAAATCTTAAACTATTGTGTCTTGGGAACAGATTCTTTCTGAGATACTGCGGCGTCTCAAGATAACTCAAAATTCTCATAAGGAAAGCAGCACCACTCTCATTCTCGCCCGAATCATTATCCATTATTTCGGTTGTGGCGTCCTCCTCCGATGAACTCTTGTTATCAAATACAACAATCTAATCAACAAAAGCAAGAAAATATGTTCTCAGTTTCTCTTTAACACTGACATGATTATTTTTGCATCATCTGATTTTCCGACAGATAAATACGATCGTATCAAAACCTAACAGAGACTGACCTCATCAATTCGGAAGATTGTGCAAGCACGCGCAACTTGACCAGCCAACTGTAAATAAATCAAAAAAATGAACACAAAATTAAACCAAAACGGCATAATATTCGTTCGTTAATTACTCCGTAACACAGTGAACATAGAAATGCTATAAACACATACTTCCAGAAACAAATCCATAAAAAAATGTATTAATTAACTAATTCAAAACTCCAACATAATTCCCAAATAGTTAAATCAACAAAAACTCAACGAGCGAGTACAAACTCCACCAGCGATAAACTCAAACAAAACAAAAAATGTAATCGCAAATCAAAGACAAAAAATCTTACGCGGGTAGCGAGTTCAAGGGACTGAGCATTGTCGATAATGGAGCCAGGAATAGCAACGGTGATGGTGGGTATTTCAGCTGACAGTGAAACGACGTCATTTTCAAGTTCCTTAACTTTGTCTTTGTTTTTCCTCTTCTTTTTTGGATGCTTTTCGTGAGATTCAGAATCGCCATTTCCGATTGCTGCATCGCTTTGCTCTGCTTCCCTCTTCTCCTTCTTCCCCATTTATCTCTCCGGTTTTAGCAGTCAATTTGTATTGAGGTGTCGATTAGGGTTTTCATTTTCCAAAGGGTTTATAACATAGGGGTTTTAATCAGGCGGTTGTACTGTGTGCTTCTCTTGTGGTACGATGCGCATTGTATTTTCTGTTTCATTTATTTTCTCATTAGAAAGGAAGCCTTAATATATTTACAGTTAATGCCATTAATGCCATGGTATTTATTAATATTATGTTTGATTTATATTTGACAATGAATGAATATAATATAAGTTACTTTTAATTTAATACAATGATACTTTTCAATTCTCTTTGGTTGAATAACTAGTTTAGGAGGTATATCATAGAACAAATGTATATAAAAAAATTACACTAGACACTCAATTAACATGTGAAGTGTGATATTACAATAAAGGGGCAAATTATAGACACCACCAAACTAAGATCAAATTACAAAAAAAAACAACACTCATATTTGAGTAATTATAATCATCCCCTCAATTATGTCTTATCTTACACGTACACCTTTACGGTGTCATATTTACCTATTGAATTAGAGATTTTTTCGTAAACCAATAGATAGTTGAAAAGGGTGGTTGTAATTACCCAAATAAGACGTGACCGTAATTTGCCCTACAATATAACATCAAATTAATTCAAAAATTCCATATCAAAAAATCTAATAAAAGAATACTTAAAAATAAGAGCAGGCAATTTCTTTGGAAGTTGATATTCTCATATAATTGCTATTTCTCTTCAAGAATTATAACTGGGGTTTATGATGCCAAGTCAGTATAAAAAAGACTAGCAATATATATGTACAAAATAATCCAAATTAAACTCAGTGCAAGAACAGCAGCAAAAGAGATCCATCCACATGCACAGAGCTTAAAATGGTAAGAAGAAGAAGAAAAAAAAAAAGAATAATTAATTATTATAAATTAAGACTCTTCGAAAATTGTTCTGAGATCAAGTTTTACACGAACGGATTCGGCTGGTGCTAAAGTCCAAGAAAATAATAGAGGTATTGTCCTTTGTACGAAGTGTTCTTGCTTCACTCAACAAAAAATTAGCTATTTTTTCCGCTGAATTCTCCTCGTCTGCTGCGTTTCTCTCCATTGTCTGTAAGAGGAAGATTTAATAATGTTCGATTAAGAAACTGAAGGCACTGTTCGAAAATTAAAATATCGAGAGAAAAAAAAAGAAGAGAAATTACCTGATGCACTAGCTGAACTGCTTTCTTGATGCTAATAACATCCCAAAAGCCATCACTACACCAAAAAAAAAAAACACAATTTAATAACTAGAAGAACGGAGTTTAGACTCGAGAAATTCACCAGAAAAGAAAACTGGAGAAAATAAATGAATTTATGCTTTTATCAAATAATAAAGAGCGAGTCGTGCATATTAACCTAGCAATTAGAGCAAAAGCATTGCTTGATTGGTCAATATGTGCAACTTCACTTATAAATGGTTCTGAACTGAATCGAATATCCTGCTCCTTAAGATACTTGTCTCCAAGCATCCTGGCGAGGTTTATACCTGAATGGAAGCACGGAAATTTATATTCAAATACAAATACGAAAAAAATAAAAAATAAATAAATAAATAAATGATAAAATCTCTAATCTTATCACCGCATATTCGAGTTTCCCCGTCTCTCAGAGGCGTTCCTAATGCTTGAATACGGAGCCTTTCAGAATAACTGGCAATCCTATGGTCTTCTGTCATCTTTATCTGCTTTCCCTCGATACTGCCAGAATAAAGGTCGAATCGGGTAAGAGCAAACGAAATTACTGGTTGCAAGAGTAAAAGAATCCGTAATATCAAACTTCTTTTATGTTGTGTCTCAAATTCAAACCGTCGAAGGATCTCTTTCCTAGGGGCAATAAAGCACCAACAGCTAATTTTAAAATATTTATAATGCTTGAGGAGCAATCCGCAATTGATTGCTTACGAAGTTGATCGCTTATTCAACACATGATAAAGGGATTCACATGGTTCCTCACTAAAATTGATCAGGTGTGAGCTAAAATAAAGAAATCTCTATCAAGATAAGCATATTGAAATATTATGCACGCAACTAATTATATCTACCAGCTATCCACAAATGGCATTTTACTGTGTTCTGAAACGAAAACCAAATAATAAAATTATCATAGTATGGCAGTTAGTCATAACAAAAAAAATATAAGGAGAGTCCAGTCAGCTATAGGTTTCCGTATATATTAATAACATAAGGTACAGTAAAGGGTTTGGAAAACTGATATGATATTCAGCAAATTCCAAATAAATGTAAGAATAATAAATATCATCACCTACTTTACAACACAAGCTGAGTCTCCAACATTTGCACATTGCGCACAGAAATTTTCATGACCATCAACCCAAACCAGAAGCACCGTAGCAGTACAACCCTGAAAGATTATTAATATTACAGCAAAATCAACATCCTTAAAGATCAAATGAGATGCATTAGTAAACTAAAGAACCTATGCAGATCTATTTTCAGTACAGCAAACTAATGAACTTAACGCAAGTGATGAAAGCATATTGATAACCATGCCAATCAAAAGGAAAACCATGAAAGAACATGCGACCAGAATATAGATTTGCGCAACAACTTATCAACTACTTTCAGATTGAGGGAATAAGTATCTTCTATACAATATGTTTAAATGGCAAGTAATGATGGTTCATTATATAGTTAAAAGTTACTTATAATTTAGTAGTCATCCATGCGTGATGCTAACTCCAAGAAAAGGAAAGGGGGAAAAGAACAAATTAACATTTTATACAGTTCCTATTCCTTTCTTTTAATAGCTGAGACTGAACAAGAAAGATTACAAGTAAATACAACATGACATTTTCCACAATAAGATCGGAAAAAGACGGCTCATCTCGAGGGTATTTATGAAGTAAATATAATATAAATTCAAATCAAGGTTATTGAGGGCCTGCACATAAGTGATACAGAGAATAAATAGAGAATTGTTGAGTAGAAACCTCATAGTAGTGATTAATACGTGCTTCTGTTTCATGAAATGCTTCTCTAAGGACATCAGAAGCGTCACACTGAGATAAAACCTTCTCCCTTCTAAATGAATCAGACAAGATGCCAGTAATTACTTCAGGCATTATTCTGGGGTAGAAGACAAAAACAAGAGTAAGTATAACATAAGAATGTCTGAACACTCTGGAATTATGCCGTAATCTAAGTTGGTATAGAGGGACCAAAAAATTCTTTCCATACAGCTAATTGACGCCAAACTATAGATTTAATAACAGCAATTTTCATTTACAAGTGTAAATACACGATTTCCAAAAAGCAGTACATAAAAAAACTAGGTCATGTTTCCTTAGTGATGGCAATCATTTCCCTATAGATAAACTGGGTTTACAAACATTTAAAATAACTCTTGCAGACGATGATCTTCCTATAGATAAATTTAAAAAATAAATTATGCTGATTGTTAGAAAACAAGTCAAGAAAGCCCTCTTGTCAGGAGCTTTATATACAATTGTTACACACAATAAAGAAGAGGAGTTCAAGTCAAAGAAGGGTAACACTAACTTGCTAACACATGTGGCTGCATCTGCTCCTCCATGTCCGTCGCATATGCCAAACAATCCAAACTGCAACATGGGAATTCAAAAATATAACAGACATATAGAGTCTGCACATACATCTATAATATGAGGTTTAACTCCAAAACCTGATCCATTCCAGGAAGAGGCCACTTGTAATAGCAAACATCTTCCATGGGCAACTTCTTCCCTCCTCGACGCAGTGCCATGGCATCTGATGCTGTACCTATCCCAAAAGGTGTCTTGCATTCTGTTTGAGCTGTAATATTGACCTGCCGCAACAAATAAATGGCAGAATAAATAAACATTTACGCAAACAACCGCATTACAAGTCCACAAAGCTGTAACATTATTACCAAAATCTTTGAACTTGTGCCTAAAGTTATTACGTCTCCGCTCGAGAGCTCAACTGGATTACTCCAATGTCTGCTTCCAGATTGAGGAATATGGACTGTTTGGGAGTTCAAAATTGTACCATTCAAGCTACCCATGTCAACCAGCTCCCACTTTAATTTCTACAAAAACATGAAGTCAATCATATATAATCATAAACATACGAATATATTAGATAGTGGATCAAGGTGGTAAGCTTACATTTACATTCCAATTTATTGTTGCATGTTTGCCAGAGACCTCAGAGTCTTTTAGTATTAAATCACCAGGCGATACTCTCCCCATAGTTACAGGAAGTTTGGATGTATCAGTTGACTGTACAGAATACTGAAGCCCGCGAGAAGGACCAGAAATTACATCCAGCATGAGAATACTTCCTGCACTTCTAAGAGAACAACATGATCACATGTTTTATATATTCTACTAACAATAGCTACAACTTAGGAATTCGAGCAACCGGCAGAAGAATATTACCTCTGTTTGTACTATAAGTGGGAATAAAGTCTTTGAAAGTGTCTTTATCTGCACTATATCTTGTCTTATAATTAACATCTTCTCGTTTCTCATGTTTCCTCTGTTCAGCAAACTGGTTTGGTCCAATTGGACGCTTAAGCGTCTGACCGAAATCCTCAGAAGTATTTGAAATATCGAGAATAAAACTATCACCTGAAATACATAACGACTAAGTTTTTTTCCCCTACACTCTGATAAAATTAGATTCATAGAAAACAATAAGCATCTATTACTGTGTGTCAACTGGGAGGATGCAGACAAATGCCTTTGTTTGGGTGGAACTGCACCAGAATGTGTCGAACTAAAACCAGCCTGCTCAGTGGGGTTACTTGATATCGACTCATTGTTCTGGCTTTCAAGAATACCCAAATCTCCCGAAATAAGAGGCCTCTCGATGTCATCAACCTGTATTGAAAATGTTAAAGTGTGCAGAAACATGACGAATAGGATCTTTAAAGAGCGTAAAATTCAAATGTTTCACAAGAGAAGGTATCGAGATCATCACCCTGTTCTATAACCCTCCGAAAACATACAAATTCATTGCAATCCATATCTAAGACAAAAGGTTTGACTAAAAAATTGGATAATTTATTACATCTAAACTTCACATTAATCAGGTAAAAGGACAAGGTTTACTAAAACAAGTCAGAATAAGCTAATTTAATCTCAACCTCAGACAATCAATAAGATGGCAATGAAGAAGAAAAATCAACTCAAAACAAAAAAAAGGCACTCACGAATCATCTCTGACTAATAAATTAAACACTAATTCGAAAGGGCAGCTCATCAAACGTCAACAACAATCATTACGAAACATGATAATAAAAATAAAATTAGGGCACCAAAATCGAATTCCCGAAGAGAACATAAAATCAAACCTTGATCGAGGCGGGAGGACGCCGGCGGGCGGCGGCGGCGGTGGTGGATAGGAAGCGGCGCCATGGTTTGAACTTGCAAGCGATGAGGATGAGGACCAGGATGAGCAGCAGCATAAGAATCACAGCGGCGATAGCCAACAACGATGACGATGTCAAAATGCTGCTGCTGAAAACGCGCATCGCCTTCTCCATCGGATTGTTACTGCTACGATTTTCTCTCACTAGAACCGATGAGAGAGAAAACTACCCCATTTTTTTAATTTAATTTTTATTTTGTTTTATTTTAGATTGCAACCAACCATACCAACCAACAATACTGTGCGTGTGTAGGCTCTGCGAGAAGGCCGCTTTGAAATGGTCGCTTTTTTTATTTTCTCATTTGCCCCCCTAAATCTTATTTGTTCTTTCAGTTCAACCCCTAAATCTTTCTAGGCCCAGGACCGTCATAAATTTGGCTTCTTTTTTTTTTGATAAATATCACAAATTAGGCTTAATTGTTCACAATTTGGGCATTTATTATTTTATTTAATATTTTGTTAATTTTCCCTATTTATAATTTTGTTTTTATTCATCTAGCCACATCATATTATCTCCAACTAACATTTTTTTCCCCGTGCGATGCACGTGATATTATTTAAAAATTGAAAAGAAATAATCAATTTAATACATAATAAGAAAATATAGTACATAGTAACATTTAATAATATAGTATTATGCATATTATATATAATATTAATTTTTTAAAATATTGCGGATTAAGATTTATAATTCAAATATATAGATTAAGATTTAATAAATCGAATTTTTATCTTTATATCTTAAGATTTGAAATATATTGATGAAAAATATGAGATCGATAATTATTGAAAATTATAGTAAAAAAATAGTAGAAAAAAATATTAAAAATAAATAATTACATAAACACCATTAGGGATTTTTAAGGTTGTCCAATCTTTCTTTCTTTTATATATAAAATAAGATTTATTATATTAATATATTTTAGGGCAAATTGCAATTCGCCCCCTTAAAAATGTCATTTTTGCATTTTCCCCCATCAAAATGCAAAAACAAGACTATAGCCCTCCGAAATATACAACTCGGTGCATTTTGCCCCAAATATGTATTTCCAATCTAATTCTCGTCAGGTTTGAGTAAATTGGAAGGATGATTTCGTCCTTTAAGGCCATACATGTCATTTGACCTTTTCCAACCCCATATTACCGTGATTATGAAGAACAATGAACAAATTTTATCGAACTTGGAAGAGAATTTTGTCCAATTTGCAAGAGAATTTTATCGATTTGGAAGATTTTTTTGTTAATTTGGGAACCTTAAGTAACTATGAAAGGGGGGTTTTAAAACAGAAAAAGTAAAATGACATATATACCCATAAACCAGCGAGAATTATACTGGAAATACACATTAGGGGAAAGTACACAGAGTTGTATTTATATGGGGGGGAAGTTAAAATAATGTTTTATTGAGGGGGAAAAGTGCAATTTTGGCTATATTTTAATAAATTAAATTTCAGCTTAATTAAATATAGAGTAAAAAGCAGTTTGCCCCCTAAACTATGGGCCGATTTGCACTTTACCCCCCAAACAAAAAAAATTTGCACGTTTTTACCTGAACTCGTTAATTCGTTACACGGTGCCCCCTGAACTCAATTTTCCGGCAAATTTGACCGGAAAGTTAAAACATGTGCCTTGCACGTGACATTTGCAGGGGTATCTTCGTACATTCACTTATCAACAGGAGATGCCTTTACATGCTTATATTAAATATTAATAAATTAATCCTCAACCAAGCTCTTACCTTTTTTTAAAAAAAAATTGAAACCCTAAAACTCGGTTAAATCATCCAACTCAGTAATTTCTAGAAACGAAACTAACACCCACACAAATATCACAAGACGAAATACTCAGAGAAACCAATCATCTGCAGGAAACGGGCAAATCCACAACTAAAACCACAAAAAATGCAAATCTCGATTCCGATTATTCAACCCTGGAGCAGAAGCGAACAAGAATCTCTGGCAAATCAACCAATTTTTTTGGCGACGGATCATATGAAATTCAAAATCAAACACAAAAAGAAAATGAAAATAAAAAACCAGAATTGAGGAAGAAATAGGAACGGGTGGAGCTATATTAGGATATTATCAGAGCTAGTGTTTGGAGATGGGTAGATTTTTCAACCCCACAAGCGCCTTAAATTCCAAAACACCAGTCCGATCTTTTGATTTCTTGAGATAGTCCATTTCTCCGCCATTGATGTCCATTGTTGCCTCTACGTTTTCAGGGAGTTCGTCGAGTTTCGGGAGTGGGATTTTGACGAAAATAATGGAGGAAGCGAAAAGCTTCTGTTTTTTACTATGGCAGGCTGCGCTTCTGTTCTTTGACAGCCGCCATTGATGGGTTTCGAAGAAAAGCTTGAACAAGACGAACAGCTTCTTTTTCCTTTATTTATTTATTCTTTTTCTTTTTTTTTTCCTTTTTTTTTTAATATTTATTTGTATTTAATATTAAAGATGCAAGTGAAGGGACGAATTTACACCTCAAAATCTCACGTGCAAAGCACATGTTTTCACATTCCGGTTAAAATTGCCGGAAAATTGAGTTTAGGGAGCACCGTGCAACGAATTAACGAGTTCAGGTAAAAACGTGCAAATTTTTTTTGTTTGGGGGGTAAAGTGCAAATCGGCCCATAGTTTAGGGGGCAAACTGTTTTTTACTCTTAAATATATAAATATTAAGTCCAGGCCCAGGCCCATCACAAATTGGACTATTTCAAAAGAACCGACGGCTCCAAACGCAGCGTGGCGTGTAAAACCAACGGCTTAGCCAACAACAAATCACCTTCCGACTCAACGAGGTCGACGCCCGCCGACGGCGGCGCCGTCCAATTGAAGCCATGTAAGAGCCTAGCCAGAAGCATCACCGCCATGGTCGAGCCAAGCGCGACGCCGGGGCTAGACATGGCCACGGGTCGGGTCTGACCCGGACCCGGCCCGGACCCGACCCATTGACTGCCCCGCCCCGCCCCGGCCCCGACCCGTTGACCATGGACCCGGACCCGGACCCGGCCAAGTATGGGTCGGTTTCGGGTCCCGACTTCTTGGACCCGAGACCCGCCGGGTCTACCCGGCGGGTGGACCTGAAGACCCGGACCCGAGGGCCCGGCCCGAGGACCCGTCGGGTCCACCCGGATTTCTGATGAAATAATCACCAAAAATGCAGCTTCTGGGTTTCGAACCCGGGTAACCCGAGTGGATTAGTGAGCACTAACCACTCGGGCAAAGTAACTTATTGCAATATTAATCTTAACTATAAATATATAATTATAAATAATACTATAAAATAATTATAACAATTGAATAACTAATGTTAATAAATTATTAATTGTCAGGTTCGTTATCTTTAATATTAAAAATCTCACCTAATAACAAATACATATATATTTAAAAATCTCCCCTAATAACAAATGCATATATAAATAATTACGATTTAATTTAAAAGAAAGATTGAATTTTGAAATTTTTTTTAGTTTTGAAATTATGAAACATTTCTCATATTAATTATTATTAAATAATTTTAATTAAATAATTAACAAATGCAATATAAGAAACTTTTAAAAAAATATATAGAATCACGGTTCAATACATCAAAACATCTATTATTAATTACTATATCAATATAATCTCCACTATTGAAAAATATAAAGTATTGAATCAATTCAATATATAAACAAATGCGTTGACTTATTACAAATTAACTTATGTTATTAAAATCGATAGTGTGAAAAAATCGATTGAAAAATAAAATAATATGTTTATTTAAAAAAATAGATTATAACTCATTTCAATTAATTTAAATCGATTTACCTCAATTATTGACAAGAACTTATTAATATTATTGAGGATTTTATTATAAGATAATTATTTAAAAATATAAATGATGTTTGTTTTAACAAAAATAGATTATATCTCATTTCAATTAATATTCTTACTTTAAAAATAACATTATATATGACTAGTATAATCAAAATATTATAATGTGATTTCTCTTTAAATAATTGGTTTAGTTTGTAAAAATCGTAAGAATTAAATCGTAGATCATATGATTTAATCTTTTTTTTTTTACATTTACATTTTATTCAAATATTAGAATCGAATCAAATCGTAAGATTTAAATGAATTAATCTAAAGTCCTTTTAATTTTGATATTATATTTGTTAATAATGTAATTAAAATTATTTAATAATTATGAATATGATAATTAACAATCCATTTAACATTATTTATTAAATCATTTTATACTGTGTTTATATGGTATATTTATATTTCTTGCAAGTAATTTACCAAATATTTATCTTGTCACAGTGGTTCGGATTACTTTTCAAGTGCGTTACAACCCACGTTCGAACCCCATTTGAAGCATATTTTGGAAAAAGTTTCAAAATCCGGTTCGGACCCGGCCCGACCCGGAACCGACCCGGACCCGGGTGGACCCGCCCCGGACCCGGACCCGCCTCCCCGCGGGTCGGTTTCGGGTCCTCCAAAACTCGGACCCGGACCCGGCGGGTCCGACCCGGACCCGGACCCGACCCGACCCGGGGCCGTGTCTAGCCGGGGCAACCTCGTCTCCCAGTACTAAAAGACAAAATTCGCAGATCGTGATCCACAAGCTCAACTTGCGCCGATTCAACCTCAACCATGTGCCGATCGGGGTTGTAATCGAGCGGGTTTTCCCAAACCCTAGGATTCCGCCCCAGGCCGGGGCGGCTGAGGAGGACGTGGCTGCCTCTGGGGATGAAGTAGCCGCCGACGACGGCGTCCTCCGTCGACACGTGGGGGACGTTGAATGGTGATACTGGGTGCAATCGGAAGGACTCTTTCACGCAGGCTCTCACGTAGTTGAGGTTAGGCAAATCTGATTCCTGGACCATTTTGCCCCTGCCGACCACACTGTCCAATTCTCGACAGGCTCGGTTAAGAATGTGTGGTTGGTTGATCATCTCTGCAATTGCCCATTCCACTGCATTTGATGGATTATCCACTCCTGCTAGCATTATTTCCTGTCCAATGATTGATTTTGATTTTCTTTTTCTTTTTGAGATGGGGGCATAATTGTAATTAATACCATCTAGGAGGGCTAAACTGATATTTCAGAGAAGTGGATATATAAATTCGATCTTACAGTAATTTGTGCTCGAATCTCTTGAACTGATAGCAAGGGGTTGTGTTCTGAATCCTTGAGGTTAATAAAAACATCAAGAATATCGTCTTCTGTCTTTTTAATCCCTTTTCGCCACATTTCCACCCTGTTCGTAATCTCCGGATCTTGATATTTCCTCACATTATCAAGTGCATCGCCGATAATCTTTTTATATCCATCAAAATCGAAAATCTCCAAACACGGAACATAATCGGCTATTGCGAAACCGTATAGATATGTAAGTATTGTGAACAACCCATCAACATGCTCTCTTTCCTGCAATCCGGGCCCACCATCCTCCTTTCCCGGCCCGAAAAACCTCTTGCCAAACACCGCTTTCCTAATCACGTTGCCGCAGTAATGCTGAGTCGCGACTCTCAAATTCACCCCATTATTATTATTATTATTATTATTATTATTATTATTATTATTATTATTATTATTATTATTATTATTATTATTATTATTATTATTATTATTATTATTATTATTATTATTATTATTATTATTATTATTATTATTATTATTATTATTATTATTATTATTATTTTGAGGAGATAATAATTGCGTGTATACGTATCTAACTAGATGATCGGCTTCTTCGCCTCGTTTCTCGTGAAGCTTTCTGTGCATGGAGGGCGAAAGAACATGCGAGGAGAGAATTCTTCTCATTTTCTTCCATTGATCTCCAATTGGAGAAATGACCGTCGAGAGGTAGTTGCAGCTTGTGAGCCTGGCCGACATGCAGTGGGGCCGGGAGGCGAAGATTAGGTCATGCTTCTTCAAGAACTCTCTAGAAGTTCCGGAGAGGTGACAATGATGACGTGGGTGCTTCCGAGGCGGATGCACATGCGATCTCTGTGTCCGTTTCTTGCATGAGTTTGTGTATCCATCGGAAAGTTGGCCTGTTCCTTATCATTTCGGGCAGGCAGCCTGTGATAGGGTAGCCTGTGGGCCCCGGTGGAAGAGGACGGTGTTTTATTGATTTTCGTTTTCGACTCATCGTACGGTCGTTTCGCCGCCGTTTCATGTAAAAGAATAATACCATGGTGGCGAGCAACAATAAGAATTCTGTATTAATGCAAAAGCTACATTTGTTTTCCATTGCAACTGAAATGGAAATACACACACACACACACACACACAAACATATATATATATTAATTAAGTATATATATATGTCGATCGCCCCCTTCTTCCGCCCCCAGATTATTTTTGCTTTTCCTTTGGCCCGTTTATTGACAAAACGCCGTCGTCTCTTCCTCTCCTTCCAATCAGCTTCGTGCATTCAAGCTGCCTGCTATTTCTTTTCCCTTTTCTTTTAATCTCGATTTCTGCCCCTCTCTCCTCTTTTCCTTCTACCGCCGCAATTGCTCACCGCGCTCTGCCACCCCCCTCTATTTCTCCACCCACTGTTATTCTACGGTTCAGGTTCCGACGGAGCTCTCGTTCTAGCAAACCCTTTACGACCGCGGTCCGGCCGTTCGTGGGGCCCCGATTTCTGCTTTTATTTTCAGAAGTTCTTCAGCCCAGTTTCTTCTCGCTCTTCAATCCCCCTTTCTCTCTGCCTCCCACCTGTTTTTCTTACACGGATGGACCCATTTCCGAATCTCTTCATCTAAATTTCCAAGCCCAGACTCGGTTGATTTTTGTAAAATTTTTTTTTGTATATTTTGGTTGTAGGTCAGATTTTGGAAAGAGGTATTTTATTTTCTTCTAGGGGATTTTTTTCTCTCGATCATTACCATTTTGTTTAACTTTAATTTTCTGTGATTAGTACATTATGTTATTAATTAGTGTGAGATGATCGATCTTGTTGTATATTCCGATAATTAATCACCGGCCTAATTAAAATCGGGCTCTGTTTTACTGTTCTTAACTGTATATATATAATCATGCATAATATATCTAAGTAAGAGAATTAGTTAATTCTTTTTTTGAATTGTTCTACATTTAAGAGTGATTGAATCATGATTTAATCATGATTCTGCAAAGGTTAATTCTTGATTTGCATGTCTCTTCAACTGTCGAAAATGATAACGAATAACATATTTTTATTTAATTACCAGGCCGTTTACAGACCTCCTCACCCGATTCGTGGAGGCATCCCAATTTGCTTCCCAAGGTTAATTTGCTTATTTTTATTCGTTGTGACGCCATTTGCCTAATTGCGTTTATTCGGTTTCATATACGTGTGTATATTGATTAAGTAGAAGAAAATAACATGGTCTATAATTAATTAATCATGCATGATCAGTTTTTCGACGAAGAATTCCTGGAGAAACATGGATTTGCTAGAACCGAAGTATGGATTTTGACACGTGATACAGCTTTTCCCCCTCCGACACCCGATCATGCATACGTTGATTTTCTACTCGATCATAAACCCGACGACTTCCAAGACTGGCCTAATCATAAGTACTTTACAATTAATATTTAATTAATAATTTTGGTATATATACAACAATATCATAATCGAAATTATATATATATATTTCCTCTGTTTTAATTAATGTTGCAGATTTGAGCTCCGTTTACGTGTTATCCTGGGACCCACCGGAGATCTGACTATGACAACTCGTGTAAAAAATGTCAACACTAATGGGGAGCCTTTCGCGTTCAAATTTGCCTATCACTCCTACTTCTCCGTCTCAAATATCCTGTAAATTAATATATACTAATGACAATATTATATTAATGTTTTTAAAAAAAATATATAGTAGCAACAGTGAATTAACTAAATTAATAATCCATTTTCCAGTGCAACTCGAATTGAAGGATTGCAGGGGTTGGATTATCGGGACTATCTGGATCACGATCAATTCACTGAAGAGGCTGGTGTACTCACTTTTGAAGAAGAAGTATGCATATATATAAATATAAAGATGTATTTTAATTACCTAAGTTTATTTAATTATGTTTGGTGTAATTAATTATCTATAATCACTTTTTAATTTCGGTTTTAGTTGGACAGGGCATACCTGAACACTCCTGATGAGATCCGTATTAGAGACCTTGAGCTTAGAAGAGTTATTACCATTTACAAAGATGATAGTCTTCCTGAAATTGGTAAGGTTATTTTTCTTTTTTATTTTATATATATATATACTTCATAGTGTCGTATTTATATATAAATGCAACGGATTATTTAATAAAACGTGTATTATATACGTATATTTTTGTAGTTGTGTGGAATCCATGGGAAGATGATGCAGGTTTGATAGCTGATTTTTGAGATGAAGAGTATAAGGTGATGATTTGAAGTAGATTTAAAAGGCGTGTGCAGAAATTTGAGGCCTCGATTGTTCATTGAATATTTTTTGATTTTTGATACGTTTTGTTGTAATTGTAAAGTAAAAAAAAATGGCCACAATACCTTTTTAGGTTTTAATTAATCTGTAGCAAATCAATTATGGATCATGTTATTGGAGGCAGGTTCAAGCTGGGGAGGAAGATTGGTAGCGAATCTTTTGGAGAGCTTTATTTGGGTAATCTCATCGGCAATTTTTTTTCTCATTTTTTCTTTATAGGCAAACTATATATAAATATTTATATATGTGCTATTTTAAATTTCATTGAGTAAATATACAAACTGGAGAAGAAGTTGCTGTGAAGCTGGTGAGTAGACTTTTCCGTCTTCGAATTGGATAAATGGTTTAGGTGTTCAATTTTTGAATGAGACTTATGTCCGGAATTTGCGAATCCGATCATCAACCCCGCCGCCGAAGAATCCATCGGTTCGTCTCTTCACTTGTGCTTCCTCTGTTGCATTTCTAATCATAGTAGTTTAGATTTTGGTTCTTAATTTGTCGTGTATTTGTATGATTTTTTTTTGTCGGACGGTTTTATGATTTGGTGGATCTATTCGTTGAAGTAAGCGGAACTCAAAAATCTCAGTTCACTAGTGTGGAAATGGTAAAATGTTTGATAAATTAGGGGAAATCTAATCTGAGATGCGAGATCATAAATAATTGATAGGGAAATAACAGGAGTGCCACTGATTGAATATATTTTTTTTTATTAAATTGAATTATTACTTTTATATTATTTTATTTTACAATTAATAGAGGTAAAGAGTAGGGTTTATGGCTGATGAGTGATGACTGATGCCTTTTTTTTCTTCCTCGTATGTGGTATATATGAATATGTCAGGTGATATAAACGGCTTCGGCTGAATATATTGATATTGCAGTGGAAGCTGCTCGCAAAGCATTCTTCAGAAATGGTGGCAAAGATTGGTCATCCGCAACTGGGGCCCACCGAGCCAAGTATTTACGAGCCATCGCTGCTAAGGTTTTTCTTCCTCACTCTAATTAAATTTTGTTGCAAAATATTTCAGTTTCTTGTGGACTATTTTCTCGTATGGTTTAGGGGTGCGATAGAAACTATTTTGGTAATTTTATGTAAAAGTATAAAATCTTGACTCTTGCTTCGTGAATTTGAGAACAATTTGTAAAGGTTTATTTCAATTTTATTGGTACTGTTTCGACTTTATTTTGGATCATGCCACATGATTGATTCGTTTTAGATATAATAATGCCACATGGCTGATTAATGCAAGATACTTGAGTTTTCATTCTTATCACATCATCCCATTTCTTTTCCCCTTTTTTTGGTTTTGCCCCTTTTTATTCTAAAACACTGTCGTATCGTACTTACTGCGCCGCATTTGCACTGTATATTAAGATCATACGACCATTGAGAGATAGACTATGTTGGTAGGATTAGATTTTTTAACGACAATAGTTATGTTGGATTCAAATACGCATTTGTAAATAATTTGCAAGAATTGCTATACATTTTCGTAGTTACATCAACTGATAAGTTATTAAGGTTCATTTTCGTCCAATTGTTTCATAGTTTTGGGGATTGCACCGTATCACATGGTGCATTCGCATCACCAACTCCGTCGAAATAACCGATCGACTTGTGCAAATATGACTACCGGACACCGCGCCTTGCGCGGTGCTCCGTACCTAGTATATATATATATATATATATATATAGTTCGGCCCCATCTAATTGTTGTTAAGGCTGTTGTGGGTGATCTTAAGTGTGTGCCAAATTGGATTGCTCTAATTAAGTCATCCTTTATGTTAGAGAATATTATATTATAGAATTCTTGTAATATTAGGATTCTAGTATGATTGAGTTACCTAGATTAGTTAGGATTTAGTTACCTAGTCAAACTCTATATATATTCCATGTAATCAACACATAACATAGTGGGGGTTTCTATTATATTGCTAATTATTATTTCTCTCTTTCTCCAAATCTATTCTTTCTATATGGTATCAGAGCACCAGGTTTAGGTTTTTTAACCTAGCCGTCTTTCTTCTCCATTCTCCATGGCTGTGAAAAAACCTAGCCGCCTTTCTTCTTCATGGCGGTGATCACCCAATTTTCTCCCTCCCCGGTGGTGGTACTCTAATATTTTTTTTTTTTCTATCTTTTTCATGCACATCACCCGAATTTTCTCCCTCCTCGGTGGTGCATCTTCTTTATCTTTTCTTCTTCTTCTTCTTCTTCTTCTTCTTCTTCTTCTTCTTCTTCTTCTTCTCCATGGCCTAATAAAACCTAGCCGCAGCATCTCTTCTTCTCTATGGCCGGCGACCACCAAACCAATTCTCTCCCTCCCGGTGGTGGTATTCTTCTATCTATAAATCTTCTTCTATCAGATCCATAAAATCCACCAAATTTTCTCCCTCCCCCGGTGGTGGAAACTTATATTTTTTTTCTTTCCGACATCTTCTTCTTCTCAGTCGGTTAATCTCTTCTCTCTATCTCGATAAAAAAAAAAAAAGGTTGCTTATTTTTCTCTCACCCGTTTATTATTATTATTTTTTTTTATAAATTAGGCAGATATTTTCACATAGGAATTCTCTAGCGTTGTGTTTCGCTGTTTCTGTCCAGTCTTCACTTTTGAATTTTATTCGTTCCGACTGCGGGAGCGTGCTAGCAAGTGATTGTCCAGTCTTTACGTTCGTCACGTTTCGACTACGGGGGCGTGTTAGAGAATATTATATTATAGAATTCTTGTAATATTAGGATTCTAGTATGATTGAGTTACCTAGATTAGTTAGGATTTAGTTACCTAGTCAAACTCTATATATATTCCATGTAATCAACACATAACATAGTGGGGGTTTCTATTATATTTCGTATTATTATTTCTCTCTTTCTCATATTCTATTCTTCCCATACTTTAAAATATGAACCAGTTGATCAACCAAATTTGAATTGTTCGGTTTTCATTTATTTCACTATTATTCTTTTCGGAAGCGAATTTGTGTTTGTTGAACTTTCTTTTTAAAAAAATTCTGAAAAAACACGAAATTACCAAAAGAAAAATAGTCTGAAAATCAGGGTAAATCATTGTCCATTTGATTTATTGTGGCTTCTTAGATAATTAAATCCGAAAAAAACTTACCAATTTGCGAGATCGAAAGGAGAGAATTTATTTATTAAATTATCAAGTATATATAACTGCACATAGAAAAAGGAAAGTAAAATAATACGTTGCATATTCTTACATTTTTTAGGGGAAAATCTCAATTTTATGTTTTTAGGAAGGAAAGTGCAAATATGTATATTTTGAGGGGGTAAAGTGCAATTTTCCCTATATTTTAATAAATAAAACGCGACGAATATATGCAAGACGAAAATTACTAAGTGCAAGACCTTACTTCATGCAAGACCAAAATATAAATAAACTTACTAAGATCAAGACTAGAAATTACAAATATAACCCCAATATTAATTTAGATATATTAATTCAAATTAGGCTAATTGCTATTGCAAGACCAGAAAAAAAAAAAAGAATAAAAAAAAAAAGGAAAAAATGAGAAGGAACTCATTCCCCCAATAAAACCCCAACATCTTCTTCTTAACACTTATTTTACACATTTTTTTCCAACAAAAAATCTTTCATATTCTCCAAAACCCTCATCACACAAAACCCTCAAATCTTACTAAAACTTGAAAACAAGACATAAATATGGAGGATTCCAAGGTCGAAGAACACAAAGAGGTAAGAAATATTGTACTTTGTGATCGTTTTTCTCGTTTTTCGCACCTCATTTCACGTATCAAAAATTCGACGTGTGCAGGTCGAAATATGCTCCGAATATCGACACACTAATGTCGAAAATTTCAACATAAATCGACACTCTTTTACTGTCGATTTGTATTGAAATTTTCGACACTGTGGTGCCGATATTCGGTGCATATTTCGACACTAGTGTCCCGATTTTTCACTGTTACGATTGTGTAACCAAATTTCCGGTTTTTCTTACATAGTTTTGTACCTAGCGCGTGTAGTGAAACTAATGCATGTAGGGAATTAGCTTTGGATTATTCACATGAATTTACCACCCATGAGGAGTTTGCAACAAGGGACAATTTAGTCACATGGGTGCGCGAAGTTGGTATGCGACTAGGAATGATAATGACAGTAAAGTCTTCAAACCAGGGAAAAAATAGACGTAGAAGGTCCTACGTGGTACTTGTATGCAAGCGTGCATGAGTGTATCGTGGCAAAAAGGTACCCGATCAAGACGACAAAGGAAATTGGAAAAGGCAAATAGGGTCAAAGAAATGTGAGTGTCCGTTTGAGTTGAAGGGCCAAAAAATTGGTATGGATGGTGAAGAAGTTCGGTGGGTGTTAACAGTTGAATGTGGTAGTCACAACCACTCAAATTTTAAAAACTTTCAAGGCCACTCATATGCTGGAAGATTAACAAGTGAAGAGATGACACTTGTAGAAGACTTGTCAAACGCATTGGTGAAACCAAAGACAATCTTATCATCGCTAAAGTTGAAGAATCCGACAAATGCGTCTTTAATTAAGACGGTTTACAATGCTCGTCAGAAGATCCAGTTCAAAGAGAATGCTGGTAGAACTCAAATGCAATTGTTGATGTTGAAGTTGTCCGAAAATAACTACTTCGAGTATCACAGATCTTTGGAGGAGACCGGCGAGGTAATGGACTTGTTGTGGACCCACCCTACATGCATTAAATTGGCATGTAGTTATCCGTATGTATTGGTTATGGATTGCACATATAAAACCAACATATACGGACTCCCATTCCTAGAGATTGTGCGTATTACTTCTACGAATAAAACGTTCTCTGTTACCTTTGCATACCTTCGGGCGGAAAAAATAGACAATTACGTATGGGCCTTGAAGAGCTTGGCGAAGGTCATGGAAAGTTGTCCTAGACCTAATCAGCAATCCCCTCTAACGTCATCACCATCTCGGTATATCCATCATCGGTATCTTGCTCGCGTATGCGAGCCAATGTAGTCCTCACCATCGTAATAATCTGAGAATCACGGGCCTCCAGTAGTGGCGAGCGAGCTATCTGGCGGCGCCCGGGTACTTACGGTCGAGAAACTGGAAGTGTACTGAGTTTTGTGATGGTCCGCTCCCTATACCAATCCATATAGTCGGGTGTAGTGTCTGGCTCTCCTAATACCACTGAAATTGATATGGACCGCTCATTAAGCATGTGATCTTCCCATCGCTCAGAATATATATACGGGTACGCCGCAAATACAAGATGAGGTGTGCCCCGCTTCTGCTTCCTAAACATAGCGTTCGACATATACGGTTGGCTGGGAATCTTCTGAACACGCCCAAATTTTCTCAAGACCCTGTCCGGATGGTAAGGCTCCAAAGTACGCATGTACTGAAATATGCCACTAAACCACGTGAACTCTGGCATAGGAAACCTGTCACGGAGGACCTTATACGGGGCCCATATAATCTGCGACAGTAAATAAATTAAAATGAAGAAACAAAAAAAAAAGTAGTCGAAATGAGTTAAAATTTAAAAATTGAAAAAACTAAAAAAATAAGAAAGAAGTCGAAAGGAGTTAAATGAGTACCTCATCGGAGCTCAGATCATCTATCAGAGTACGCAGATTACGGGCTCTGTCATCACTTGAGTCGGACTTCAGTGGATATACCCATCGTGTAACTAACGGTCCCTCGATCTCGCCGGACCTAACCGTCGGTGTGAGATGGGGGAAATGCTCGTAAATCCAACCCTGAAGAAGCGTCAAGTATCCACTTATTTGATTCGTATTAGCCCTTAAAGCATCCGACAACGCCTCATAGAGCAGACACAAACAAGTTGTACCCCATTCGTAAGTCCCAATGTTGTCCAAATTCTGTAGCAAACACAACAACTGCAGTGTACCCATATTCCCCGTCTTGCCCTGGAATATCGTACATGACAACACGTACAACAAAAATGCCCTTGTCGCGCACGTCCTTTTATTCTCATCGTCATTATCTGTCACCGAACTGAAAGTATTGCGCAACCACTCCAACTTAAGCACCTTCTGATTTTGACCCCAACATTTATCCGTCGAATTAAGCAATACTCCAAGAATTCATTTTACGATTGCTTGTGACGATGGCCCCGTCTTACTAATTTGTTGAATAAATAATGGTCGTCCCACCACTGGCAAACCTGTCAAGCTGCTGACATCGTCATCTCCCCAAATGGTAAATGGAACGTACAAGTTGCCGGCTGCCACCGCTCTATGAAAGTCAACACCAATGCACTATCTATCACCTTGTACGAATGACGTACAAGGGGCATCAAACCGGACCTCTCGACAACCTCGGTCATAAAATGAGCCATCCGCCACTTCTCCAACATTGTTCTGTGATTATGAACCCTCACACTTTCGCGCTCCTACATTTTTAATAAAAATAAACATTCAATCAATAAACTAAATAACTTCAATAACTTATGTATATGTGTGTCTATAAGTGTAAAAGTACATTCCCGGACAAAATCTGTCGGGTGATATGATTCTCAAACTGTGGCATCAAGTCTGGTATTTGTGGTCCTCTGGGGCCAGCCGATTGGCTACTAGATCCATCAACTTCGGTGATCGATGTGAGCGGTGTATCCTCAGGTATGGACAATGAAGACTCAACATCGGTAGGTAAACGTGTACGATTAGCGGGAGGATTGACCCAAGTAACTTGAGAATCGCCACGTCGAACTTTACGATTGACCAATGCCTTTCTCTTCACTCAGAAGCAGTTTGGGGAATACGCGGTTCCACTGAAAAAATATAAATAAAATAATAATCATTTATATAAAAAAAAAAGTTTGCAAAAAAAAATTAGTTTACCAGTCAATTATCGACATTACAGTGTCGATTTTTTGTACAAAAACTCGACATAAGCTCTCTGTCGAAAATTGTACAAAAAATCGACACAACAATGTCGAATTTTCTCTCAAAACACGACATTAGGTTTATGTCGAATTTTTGTACAAATATCGACATTGAGATTTCGAAAAAAGTTTCAATAATCGACAATTGTTTGCTGTCGAAATTAGATGAAAAAATCGACACCAATATGTCGAAATATTTCCAAAACATCGACAAGTACATGTCGTTTTTTTTTGTAAAACCGCAACTCCTTCAACAATAGTGCTAGAATCAAACCCTAAAATCATCAACCATGTTATAAAATGACTTGTATTCATTATACTAACAATAAAATCATGTTTATCACATTTTATTTCTAAAAAAAAAGTTAATTCAAAAAGTAATTTCCTTACTTACTTTTCGTGATTGTTGTGGCAGGGTTGGGGAACAACAGTTGCAGGTGGGGAGGTTCTAGTGGTTGTCGACTGCAATCGCGACGGGGGAGGTGGTGGACTTCAACGACGACGACGCAGGGCGGCGGCGAGTGCTGCAATTGATTTTTTTTTTTTGGTTTTCTTCCCTTCTTCCCTCCTCCTCGTTTTTCAATTCTCGTTTTTCAATTTGCTTTTTCTTTCTTTTTTTTTATTAATTTTTCTTTTTTAAATTGGTCTTGCAAAAGTAAATTGATAAAAAAAATTTATTTTGTTTGTGTTTTATTAAAGTTATTATAGTTTTTTTATATTTAATTTGATAAAAAAAAATTAATTTGGTCTTGCACTAAGTAAATTTGTGATTGTAAATAGTCGTTGCTCACATAAAAATTAATTTTATTAAAGTTATTATAGTTTACTCTTTGATAATTTCCAGACTTAGATCAAACGGTGTTAATGTCAAAAGTCTGTAAACTAACGGCGATGGTCACATATTTGAGACAATTTTTTAAATATAGGGGGATCGGACAAATTGATGCAATTAAGAGTAGAAAGAAGTAAAGTGATATCAAACCAAAATACAAGAGGGCAAATCGATACAATTAAGAGTATAAGCGAATAGAGTAAAAAGAAAATAAATTACAGCTTAATTAAATATATATAAAAATTAAGGCCCAGGCCAATCACAAATTGGACTATTTCAAAAGAACCGACGGCTCCAAACGCGGCGTCGCGTGTAAAACCAACGGCTTAGCCAACAACAAATCGCCTTCGGACTCACCGAGGCCGATGCGGACGCCCGGCGGCGCCGTCCAATCGAAGCCATGTAGGAGCCTAGCCAGAAGCATCACCGCCATGGTAGAACCAAGCGTGACGCCGGGGCAACCTCGTCTCCCGGTACTAAAGGACAACATTCGCAGATCGTGATCAACAAGTTCAACTTGCGCCGATTCAACCACCATGTGCCGCTCGGGGTTGTACTCGAGCGGGTTTTCCCAAACCCTAGGGTTCCGCCCCAGGCCGGGGCGACTGAGGAGGACGTGGCTGCCTCTGGGGATGAAGTAGCCGCCGACGACGGCGTCCTCCGTCGACACGTGGGGGACGTTGAATGGTGCCACGGGGTGCAATCTGAAGGACTCCTTCACGCAGGCTCTCACGTAGTTGAGGTTAGGCAAATCTGATTCCTGGACCATTTTGCCCCTGCCGACCACTTTGTCCAATTCTTGACAGGCTCTGTTAAGAATGTGTGGTTGGTTGATCATCTCCGCCATTGCCCATTCCACTGCGTTTGATGGATTATCCACTCCAGCTAGCATTATTTCCTGTCCAATATTATCAGAATTCAGAAAATCATAGAATGCATGATTAATTTTGATTTCTTTTTGAGATGGTGGCATAATTGTAAATAACTTTTTCATTTTGGGCTAACCGGAGAAGAAAACATGCATCATCTTTTACGTGGTTTTTTTTTTTTTTTTTCCCTTTCTTTTCAAATAAGAGTTTAAGTGATGGATTAGGGTCGTAAACAATAACGAGCTGAGCTGACTCGTGAGCTCGATGAGCCGACTCGCGAGCCTTATTTTTTAATATATATTATTTTTTATTTAAATAATGTATGATAATATAGAATATTATAGAAATAATATAAAAAGAACATATAATTATATAATTACAGTTTATTTAATACTAAATAATTCTAATAATAATAAAAATAATAATAATTAATAGAAAAAAAAAAAAGCAAAATGAGCTTGGGATCAAGCTCGATAAAATGGACTCGAGCTCCTGCTCCAGCCCAAAAAAAAAAAAAAAAACTGGACGAGCTTGAGCCTGACAAAATGAACTCGAGCTCAAGCCTAACAAAACAGATGAGCTCGGCTTGGTCACATAAGAAAAATGAAATAAAAATAATTAAGTGATAGAAAGTGGAGGATTTCTTACAGTAATTTGTGCTCGAATCTCTTGAACTGATAGCAAGGGGTTGTGTTTTGAATCCTTGAGGTTAATAAAAGCATCAAGAATATCGTCTTCTGTCTTTTTAATCCCTTTTCGCCACATTTCCACCCTGTTCGTAATCTCCGGATCTTGATATTTCCTCACATTATCAAGTGCATCGCCGAGAATCTTCTTATATCCATCAAAATCGAAAATCTCCAAACACGGAACATAATCGGCGATTGCGAAACCGTATAGATATGTAAGTATTGTGAACAACCCATCAACATGCTCTCTCTCCTCCAATCCGGGCCCGCCATCCTCCATTCCCGCCCCGAAAAACCTCTTACCAAACACCATTTTCCTAATCACGTTGCCACAATAATGTTGAGTCGCGACTCTCAAATTCACAAGCCCGTTATTATTATTATTGTTGCTATTGGTGTTGTTGTTTCGGGATGATAATAATTGTGTGTATACGTATCTAACGAGATGATCGGCTTCTTCACCTCGTTTTTCGTGAAACTTTTTGTGCATGGCCGGTGAAAGAGCATGCGAGGAGAGAATTCTTCTCATCTTCTTCCACTGGTCGCCGTATGGAGAAATGATTGCCGAGAGGTAGCCGTTGCTAGTGAGCCTGCCCGACATACAGTCGGGCCTGGAGGCAAAGATTAGGTCATGCTTCTTCAAGAACTCTCTGGAAAGTTCCGGGGAGGTGACGGGGATCACGTGGGTTTTTCCAAAACGGAAACATGCAATTTCTGTGTCCATTTCTTGCATGCGTTTGTGTATCCATCGGAAAGTTGGCCTCTTCTTCGTCATTTCAGGCAAGCACCCGATAATAGGGTAGCCTATCGGCCCCGGTGGAAGAGGAGGTGTTGTTTTGCTTCTTTTCTTAGGGTTTGGGCTCCATTTGTAAAAGAATATTACTATTATTGTGGCAAGCAAATATAGTAAGAATTCGACGCAAGAACTATTTTTGTTTTCCATAATGAAATTGTTTGGTTTTTTAGCTAGGGAAAACATGTGTGTATATCGAATGTGTGCTCTCGCACCTGTCTTTTATAATGTAATCTTTTGTTATCTACGCAATTTTTTTTTTATTTATTTATTTATTTATTTTATTATTTTTTTTTTTTTGTGGTGGTGGTTGATAACTAATATGATGATAAATAGAGATGTAACATTATAAAAAAAAAAACTACAAATTGAGTTTTGCAATCGAGCCAAACAAGAATCGAGCTCGTGTAGTTTAATATTTCAGTGGATCATTTAAAAAAAAAAAATCCTGTTCGAATCGAGTTTGATAGTTGTTGGAACGAAAAATAGTTATTCAAATTTGATTTGTCATTTTAACAAATTAGCGTTACGAAAACAAACTTAGAACAAAACTGATCTCGAATCGAGTAGCTAGGCTTGGTTTGATTTTGAGTAGTATTATACTCCTCCTCCTAGGGTTTTGACATATGCACTGGAGCATCGCTTAAATAATAATTTCTTCTGATCCCCAAGAGTGTAATAAGGCAATGTTTGGAACCGTTTTTATTTTGTTTTCATTGTTTCCCCAAAACAAAATGGGATTTATTACACTTTTCAAATCATTTTCTCAAAATAATTTCAAAAGTTTATCTCTCCTTCAGACATGATGTGACTGCTACAGTAAAATGATTTGACTGCTACAGTAAAAAATGTCTTCACTAAAAAACAAATAAACATCACTTCACCTTTCAATTTTTTTCTTCAAAAATACATTTTTCTAACACCTTTAACACATGATTTGACTGCTACAGTGTATTTTGTCTCATTCCAAAATACAAACAAACATTACTTTCATTCTCAAATTATTCCCCCAAAACATATTTCCTCAAAATGAAATCAAAATAAGATCTAAAACGCTTCCAAACATTGCCTAAACATATTAAATTATTAATTCGATATATGTATTAATTTATAGATGTTTAACTGTATGCTATCTAATTATTAGTGTCTCATATCCTTGCACGTCGAAAATATTAGGCAAGCTATTAGACCCGACACACACACACACACACACACACACACAAACATCGAGAGAGACCGCGATGAAGTCCGTATGTAATGGTGGAACGTTGTTATTGGCTTAAACTTGGATATATTGTTTGGCACGACTCTCTTCTCATCTTCTTCAACAAGTACAAACACATTTGTAATGTATATAACAAAATAACAAAGTGATGTGAGTGAGTGGTCCTGTATTTCTTGAATATGAAACATCAATTAATTATCTAGGTAGCCAATTGATATATATATTTTCAGCAAAAAAAAATCTCAAGCCTTGTTCTGTATATCTATCTATATTAACAACAAGCTGATAGAAACGACAACAAGATACAACTTCTATATATACATTTATTTCCATGGAGATGCAAACCTTAATCGATCTTTGTCTCTGATTAGGAACTCTGTCTTTTACCCCATTCAACAAGATACATTGCATCGATTTGCCTCCTGGACTTTAAAAATTGTTTCAATGTTGTCCTTGCCGTAAGTTTTCATACATTTAACATTAAGACTATTTGATTTATATCTGAAAATTACAAAACAGACACCCCTCCTAGTTTAAATAATTATCAAAAAAAACAATAAATAAATAAATAAATTGTGGTCCGCGTCGTGAATTATGTTTTCTCGTTATCTTGAAATTTTTTATTTGTTATTTATTTATTTATATATTTATTATTTATTATTAATAATTATTTAAACTAGGAGAGATGACGTTTTTGTAATTTTAGAACTTAAATCAAACGGTGTTAAGATCAAATGTCTGACAACTTACTGCGAGGAACACATTGAAACAATTTTTCAAATATATGTGAGCAAATCGATACAATCGATAGTAGAATGGAGTAAAATGATATCAAACCAAAGCACAAATTGTAGATAGTGGAATTTATCCTAAAATAAATTACAGATTAATTAAATATATAAAAATTAGGGTTAATATGCTGGAGGTCCCTCATACGAAACCTTATTAGATGTGGGATACGGGCCCAATATTTTCTTCGTAACTAAATCCCTAGATTCTAAAAATATAAGTTATAAGGGTTTTTTTTTTTAAATATCTCAATAATACCCTTTATTTTAACCGGACGTTTATGTGGCGTTATTAGACGTTATGTCTATTTAATAAATCCCGTCCCTTGAAGATAGGGATTACGTATCAATCACGTTCTATCGTGATAGTAACAATATCTTTATGTAATCTCATTAATATATACTGCACGTATGTGAAGAAGATTTCATACACATCAATACACAGTTGTAATCTGCTAAACTTGTGCGTAGTCATTCGAGTGTTCGTTGTTCTCCTTCATCAAGAAGGTATTGTCTTCGTCATCGATATCATTGTTTCTTCGCGTTTTTGTTGGTTGGATGTCTGTTCATTTTTTTTTTTATCGTTTTTTTGTCTTCACAACATCCACTCATAGATTTGAAAATTTAAATTATACAGTGGAAAAAATAATTTAGTAAATTATTGTATTAACCTATTTATTTGGTGCATTGGTGCATGAAGAACGTTGTGGTGCATTGGTGCAGGAAGGTAGGACATGGTTGCCAATGAAAGCATCTGATTCGGTGTACGAAGTATTGAGTGAACCTGTTGCCGTGGTTGACTTATGGAACAGATCATGCTCATGCCGAATGTGGCAAATTTCCGGCTTCCCACGTGCTCATGCTGCTTGCGTTTTAAACAAAGCGAACACGGAAGGATACAATTATGTGGACGATTACTTTCATGTTTCGCCGTACAGACAAAGTTATGCTAAAGCTATTTATCCATTTGCTAGGCCTATTGCGGAACCGCCGTTGGCTGTCATTCGTCCACCTCAGTTCCAGCCGAAACGTGGTAGACCAAAGACGAAAATAATTGCTTCTAGGGGTGAGATCGTAGCGAGGAGGATGAGGTGTAGTCGCTGCAACCAGATTGGATCCCACAACAAAAAGACGTGCACACGGATTATTCAGTAGTTTTGATTTTGAGTTTTGTTCTAGATGTTTCAAGTTTGCATTGACCTAAAGACTTAGTTTTTTTTTTCTATGTTTCTCTCATGGATTTATGCTTGGGGAAGTACTGTGTTGTTTCAGTATTGTTTTTTTTTTTTTTTTTTTTTTGTGAGGAATGTTTGTTATTTTAGGGATATATTTGTTTTTAGAGTATTTTATGTTTAATGTTACTTATAAGGATTCATGTTTGAGCAATTCCACATTTGAGTTTGCTGTACAGTACATTTTTGCACAGAAAACATGATTTCCAAGAAATGTCATATAGGTTTACGATTTTTACATAGAATCTGGTTGCACTGTATTGTAATTTTTGGATCACATTATTGACATCATTGCAACAATACCATAATATAAAAAAATGCACTCCAGCCAGTGTTGGTGCACTTTATCACTAAGTGCACATATCTAAAGTTTATTTAGTGATCTGTAATATTCCAAAGAAAACTGTAGTATGTTACAATTTTATATGAGGACTCATATTTTGACATTCAATACAATTTGTACACAATTATGCCAAATTTGTTAGTCAACCTTATAAATACTTTAGAATCACTGAACGAACGAAACTCTAAAATTGTATCCGAATTAATTTCATGGTATTATGAGTCGTGAGATTTGTATCATTGTTCGTATTGTAACTTATTTTGACGGATTAACGCGCTGTTTCACTTTCATGTGCTATCTTGTTTTTTGTTAGTTCTATTAAAAAACAAATTCAATAATAATTTTCAACATATTGCACGATTGAACTGCCTCAAGTTTTTTATGCATTATCCGTTTGTAAATGATTTGTTGTTTGTGAAAATATGATACATGTTTATTGTTTTTACAGATAATCTAATTGCACAGTTTAGTTATTATTAAAATCATAATCATCACTGCACTGCATCAATGCCACACATTAGAACAATACAATACAGTTTGTTTTGGTGGACTGTCATTTAACGCGATCATATAATGTTCTGTTGTATTTCATAGTTTACCATAGAAGAATATAGTATCGTTGGTACTAAGTTGTTTTGACATTGTTACGGTATTCCTATACACAAATATACAGTACTATACAATATCAACAAAGCTAGTTTCCAAAAGGCATATATAGATAAGATACTGTGTCAATGAACAACAGATAGTTTTGAATATTTCAACAGAGTTAAAACTAGAGCGGAAAAACATAAATACTACATAAGTTTTCGTTTTCGTGCAGTAGACAAATAAAACGAGACTATTTTATGGCTAATTAATTTTGTAATTCAAAGATGTTCTACAATGTCCTTTCTCATTTCTGCAACACCCTTCTCTGCTTCTTTGATCTCCAATGGCATTTGAAGAAATATTCTCTAATTATGTGATACGATATATTATTTAATATATCGTTTAATTATTAGTTTAGTTAATAGTTTATTATTAATTAATTAGATTAGTATATTTTAATAAATATTACCGTGAGTTAGTAGTGGTTAGGAGATTATTAAGTATTTTATTAGTATAGTTAATTATGTCTCCTAGTTAGATTAGGATTCTAGGGTTTTATTATCTTTAAATAGTCGTTTTGTGCTAGGGTTTTAGAATGCAGAGAAATAATAAAGAAGAGTTTTCTTACGTTCAGTAAAGAAATCTTATGATACTCAAGAGATCGTATCATTATGTATAGCACTATCACACCACAATCGTTGGAACCAGGCTTCTCCTGCGAATATAACAAACCCCGCTTTAATTGTGATCAAGTATACAAGAATTGGAGAAGAAAAAAATACATATGCCTTGTAATTGTAGTGGCAATATTTGTGTATTAAGGTATTGGAAATTTTGCAATTGCCAGAAAACCATAAAATATCATAGATTCCCATAGCTACATATACTATGCAATGAGTCAAAAATACATAATCCTTAGCAATATTATCAATTAAACAGGGAATTATATATCATATAATTGCAACTGTTTGATATGTCTATAACATAGTTCTGAAAAAAAAAAAAAAAAAAAACAAAAAAACTTCACAACAAAATAGTTGTACCAACATATTCATTGAAATCATGCCGTAGACTATTATACTACATATTCAACTGACAGAATGCCATAGAAACTATGAGACAATACACAGTACGCACTCGTAGAAGGCCATAGAAACACATCTTCGAATACAAATAGAAGTCAAAATACGATTCATTAGCAACAAAATTACGAATAATGTTATTGTTACATCAATAGGGAGTACAACGGAAGGGAAGCACTATTTCTCGTAACTTCAATGGCAGTTCTACAACTTTTATTAATATAGAATACTGCAGAAAGACGCACATTTTCATAGAATAGTATAGTAATGAAATTGTAATTTTGCAGATAACCATAGACATATGCAGACTTTTGTACACCAACTATCTGCAATCACACAAATCTAAACCTACACGTACTATATGACGACACTCAGGAGTCACGAAACATATTAGAATACATATTGCGATTACCCAACAACGGATTGGAACCTTTTGTCCCAAAAAAAATATTTCCCAGCATAGTTTGAATCAGTCGACTCCATGGTTTTTTCGGTGGAATTCATAGACGACACCCAAAAAATTAGTAAACATCACACAAACAGAATATACATGCTTTGAATCATACCAGGGTCTAGGGCAATTATGTCTTGCTGTCGCATCATACGCATCTCCCCTGTTCATTCAATATTGTAAAATCCCAAAAATAACAAAATTAAAACAAAATCAACAAAAAATAAAACTTACTTGATCTGTTTCTTAACGTAGACATCGGTAGATCCTAATTGCGCCTACAATTTTGGATGATTTTGCTCGACGACGATTTGCAGGCCAGAACGGAAGGGAAAAAAACCGTAATCTGTAGAAGATGGGGTGAAGTGAGGGGGGGGGGGGGGGATAGTGGGTTGGTTTTGATACGATTAATTTGGATTTTGGAAAATATAATCTCACAGATTACTAATGGCGGGATTGGTGGGATTTAATTTTTTTTTTTCCAAAATTAAAAATAGACGGCGTTAATGTGACCGTAAAGGTACTATAGTCACTATTTCACAAAAGAATGTCTGATTAATACTTTTATAAGCTTGGGTGTATCATCTAATAAGTATTCCCACTAGGAATGCATATCTTAAAGCCCCTAAAAATTAAGGCCCAGGCCCATCACAAATTGGACTATTTCAAAAGAACCGACGGCTCCAAACGCGGCGTCGCGTGTAAAACCAACGGCTTAGCCAACAACAAAACACCTTCCGACTCAACGAGGTCGATGCGCACGCCCGGCGGCGCCATCCAATCGAAGCCATGTAGGAGCCTAGCCAGAAGCATCACCGCCATGGTCGAGCCAAGCGTGACGCCGGGGCAACCTCGTCTCCCGGTACTAAAGGACAACATTCGCAGATCGTGATCAACAAGCTCAACTTGCGCCGATTCAAACACCATGTGCCGCTCGGGTTTATACTCGAGCGGGTTTTCCCAAACCCTAGGGTTCCGCCCCAGGCCGGGGCGGCTGAGGAGGACGTGGCTGCCTCTGGGGATGAAGTAGCCGCCGACGACGGCGTCCTCCGTGGACACGTGGGGGACGTTGAATGGTGCCACGGGGTGCAATCGGAAGGACTCCTTCACGCAGGCTCTCACGTAGTTGAGGTTAGGCAAATCTGATTCCTGGACCATTTTGCCCCTGCCGACCACACTGTCCAATTCTCGACAGGCTCGGTTAAGAATGTGTGGTTGGTTGATCATCTCCGCCATTGCCCATTCCACTGCGTTTGATGGATTATCCACTCCAGCTAGCATTATTTCCTGTCCAATATATTTATAATGCATGATTTGATTTTGATTTTAATTTTCTTTTTCTTTTTGAGATCGATGGACAAAATGAACTCGCGCTCAAGCCTAACAAAATAGATGAGCTCGGCTTGGTCACATAAGAAAAATGAAATAAAAATAATTAAGTGATAGAAAGTGGAGGATTTCTTACAGTAATTTGTGCTCGAATCTCTTGAACTGATAGCAAGGGGTTGTGTTTTGAATCCTTGAGGTTAATAAAAACATCAAGAATATCGTCTTCTGTCTTTTTAATCCCTTTTCGCCACATTTCCACCCTGTTCGTAATCTCCCGATCTTGATATTTCCTCACATTATCAAGTGCATCGCCGAGAATCTTTCTATATCCATCAAAATCGAAAACCTCCAAACACGGAACATAATCGGCGATTGCGAAACCGTATAGATATGTAAGTATTGTGAACAACCCATCAACATGCTCTCTCTCCTCCAATCCGGGCCCGCCATCCTCCATTCCCGCCCCGAAAAACCTCTTACCAAACACCATTTTCCTAATCACGTTGCCGCAGTAATGCTGAGTCGCGACCCTCAAATTCACGAGCCCATTTTTGTTGTTATTTTGAGGAGATAATAATTGTGTGTAAACGTATCTAACGAGATGATCGGCTTCCTTGTCTCGTTTGTCGTGAAGCTTTGTGTGCATGGCCGATGAAAGAGCATGCGAGGAGAGAATTCTTCTCATTTTCTTCCATTGATCTCCGATGGGACCAATGACCGTCGAGAGGTAGTTGCAGCTTGTAAGCCTGGCCGACATGCAGTGGGGCCGGGAGGCGAAGATTAGGTCATGCTCCTTCAAGAACTCTCTGGAAAGTTCTGGAGAGGTGACAGGGATTACGTGGGTGCCTCCGAGGCGGAAACATGCGATTTCTGTGTCCATTTCTTGCATGAGTTTGTGTATCCATCGGAAAGTTGGCTTCTTCTTCGTCATTTCAGGCAAGCAACCGATAATAGGGTAGCCCGTGGGCCCCGGTGGAAGAGGAGGTTTTGTTGTTTTTCTTCTTTTCTTAGAGTGGTTTAGCCATTTGGCAAAGAATACTATTATTATTGTTGCAAGCAATAATAAAAATTCGATGCAAATGCTAGTTTTGTTTTCCATTTTGCAATTGTTTTGGCTTCTTTTTTTTTTTTTTTTTTTTTTTTTTTTTTGTGATGTGGCTAAGGAAGCAAGTACTAGGAAAATATCATTTGTATGTGTTTATGTGGATATGTTGTATTGAAAGTGATCTCGCAGCTTTCCTTTTATAGTGTAATCTTTTGTTACGTATACTATGGTTAAATTCTAAATTATTTTGTAGTGGTAAATATATATTTACCGGTACCAAAAATAAAAATGTGTAAAATAAGGATTTAATCACACAATTGATGACCTATCGAATTAAGTTTGTGTGGTGCAATCGAGCCGAGCTCGTGTAGCTTAATTATTTTTTGTGTAAACTCTACCATTTTTTTAAAATCAGGCTAGAGTCGAGCTTCATAGATTTTCGAATTGAAAATACTTGTTCAAGTTTGATTTGACAAATCAAGATCAAAGAAGCTTTTAGCGAACTCAAATCGTAGTTAATTACCTCGGTTTGAGATAATACTCTGATCTCATTAGTGTCTCGTATCTTTGCAAGTAGACAACATTATGAAAACTATCACACACACACATGAATGTGTGTATGATTATGTGTAGATCAACGGTTAAAAATCACCAGATGTATTTTACCAGGTGTCGCATCAAATAAGCCGTGTACGTAGGTAACGGTGGAGCGCTAATTTTGGCTAAAAAAATATCAATGATATTTTGATACGCATGGCATAGATGTTGTCCTGTCTTCTTCAAGAATTAAAAACATTTATGTAATGTAAAAAAAAAACAAGTGAAGTGAGTGGTCCTTATTTCTTCAATAGATACATCATATATGGGGTCCTAATTTCAGAATTGACATGTTTGCATGAATTACACATGAAAGAAAAAAATGAATAATTAACGTTCTTGTTGTCGATGTCATCTGGGCCTAGTCAAGGGTGGGAGACGACGGGACTTGTGTTGTGAACGAGAACCACATACATATATCCCCATATTGGTCTTATCCATCTAACTAATATCACAAAACCAGATTAACTACAGTTCTGCCTCGTCTAATATGTTTTTAAGGCTGACGTGGACGATGTTAGGTCTGCCTACCTCGAAACCAACCACATGGTACATTTTCATTCTTGCACAAACAGACTTCAAATTTTGAACTTATATAGCACATACATGATCACATTGTTACGGCCAGGCAGTCGCCCCGCCCCGCATGATTATATTATGGCAGAAAATAAAATTTTCGACAAGGAGAGCTCTTCTATACACAACACTAGTGATAAAACGAGAGAAAACTTGGATGTATACCAGGAGCATTGCAATAAAAAACTAGATTACTCACAGGCATAGATGTCGACTCATTCAGTAGATTTTAGCTCGAGTCCATTGTCCCCCAACTGCGTGTATATTAGTATAGTCATGCGTTGAGACAGAGATAATTAATATTGCAAATAGCTAAGCAAGTGGTATTTTTTTTTAGAAAACACTGAGAACTTACGTTTATTTCCCTGGAGAGGCAAACCTTAATCGATCTTTGTGTCGATTCGAAATTCTGTCCTTTGGGGATGATGTTTTAGATGCACCTGCTTGACGCATGAGCTCTGTAATATACACAAGTTCTGTTCAGGGGAAAATCAAAACATGGAACTGAAAGAAAGCATTGTCCAACGGGTTTAACTATTTCTTGTGAACGTATCATGTGGATGAAAGAAGATTCCGTATATATCGGAAGTTGTATATTCCAGCATTAGTTTATCCTAAACATATACTTCCATACATGAACCAAAATAACATTTGGCCAAGCGGGACTTTCCATAGTAATTATATAATAAGTAGGAAACACTTGTCCAATTTTATTGAAATTACTTAATCAGCACAAAGCCGTTCCTAAGAAGGGTTTCAGCGTTTTTCGTTTCTGAAAAGTTTTAGGCAATCGAAAAATGCTCCTGATAATGAATTAATAATTTGGAGTAATTTTTTGAAAAATGTGGGAGCTGAGTAATGCAGTGCACGCTATTACGATTCTGAGTTATGCCATAGTAAAAGTAAGACTTGCCTCTGGTCCTTTCAAGCTCTTCATCAAGTTCTTCTTTCCATTTCCTCTGTATCTCATTGAACCTACAACTAGAGTGCCAACAAATAAATAAAATTGTGTCACACTCTCAGATTAGACAAGTACCAAAAATATCTGCAAGAATACATGCAAAAAAAAAAAAAAAAAGCAAAGACATTCGAATACCTTTCAGTAAGTGCGTCCCGCTGAGAATCGGGAAGAAGCTCTTGGACCTCCTGAGAAGCATGGAAGTTCACATCACTCATATTTGATAGTCGTCTAGGACAACTCCCAGGACTTGAGCTGTCCATGGCAGTAGAAAGTCTTTTACTACCCACCCTATTGGTATTGGGTGACCTGCTTTTAGGAGGTAAGTTGCAAAAGTTTGCAACATTTTCCTTGTTCGGAATGTCAGTAGGACTTGGAGGCCCAGCAACGCTCGACGAATTGTAGAAGTTGTACAAAGGTGTTTGCAACTTCTTTAGTTCAAATGCCTGCAAGCATAGAAACACGTCAAGCAAAAATGAGACGAAAGTATTACGACTTTGGACAAAAAAGATGAACAGAAAATAGAACTTTAAAGTTGTAGATTTGAACAAAACATCACAAAATATTTCGAAAATTCTATCAAATTAGGGAAAAGTTCAGAAATTCTGGATAATTCTTTAAAATATGTACATAACTGTAATGGCTTGAAGAAATTGAGTTATATTGAATCACAGAGAATAAAGGGGAAATACCTTTTCATCAAGAAATGCCCTAATCTTGAATTCAGTTACTTCATCATCATCTTCTGCTCCTGGCTGCTCTCTTGGAAATGTGAATCCAAAATCAACCTCACCAGAAGCATTAAACCCGTTTCCAATATCCATCGTTTGATTCGGTGGCAACCCAGTTTCTCTTTTACACAATTTCGGATTTTCATCAAACTTGCATGCACAATCATCATTTGGCTCATACATAGGATTATAACTCTGCATAAAGAAAATAGCCAGAACTTTAATCAGCAATACAGTCTTCTACGGCTTAATAGGTACTTGAATTTGAAAATATAGCGAGTTTTATGCAACTAAGTTCTCTACTCAACCTGATTATATGTGAATTTTGCGGATGCACCAAGTGCAAGATCATCATCATTATCAATACAGCACATTTCATCATCAAAATTGGAAGGTTGCCACAAGGATCCTCTTTCCGAAGATTGGTCAGGGTGAACAGTCGAGTATCTGTCACTAACATCCTTCAGACCATTGCATGACCTCTTCGCCTCTAGGTTCAGTCTGCAGCATGAATATAACTTTTGATACAACAAGATTCAACTAGTTACGAAAGGATATCCAAATGCATTAACCACAAATACTTACGATTTGTCGATCTCCATCCCAAAATCTGCCACCCGCTTCGCAGAGCCCTCCCTCTGATCAAATTTAGGGTTATTAGTTAAGATGGTTGATACATTCTAAGAAAGTTAAGTCGGTAAGGAGCATTGGCTGACCACAAGTGAATGGCGAAGAATGAGATGGGATTCCAGAGAATCTCCAGTAACAAATGGGTGCTGAAATAACAAGGGAAATGCCATTAGTCAAAATATTATTTTATAGTAAAATATTATTTTATAGTAAATAGTAACTCAGTTATAATCCAGTGAGAAGGTAACTTTACACTACCTTTAACAACTCCGATGCAGTAGACCTCAGGTCTGGCTCCCTGCAATTATTTATGAAGAGGAATGTGAAAAATCTAGCAAAAAAGGAATACAAATCGAATACAAAATACCAATAGCTCACGTTATTCTTAAAGGACGATTAACTATTGTCAATTTAATCATTCACATAGAGACACAAATAGGCAAAAGAAAAATGATAAGGTAGCTACATACTTCTGTAAACATTTTAACAAGAAGTCATTTGCTTCACGAGACAGATGCTCGGGTATCGGTGGATGAGATTTAGTTGTTCCTACATAAAAGAGAGCAGCAACCTGAAATAAGACAACAGTTAGAACCAGAATTAATTGATCATAACAGAGGAAATTGTGGACCTTAAGACTAGTATACTCAGAACATTACTATATGCATACCTCCTGATATTGCTGACTCCAAGGAGCCTTTCCAGTGGCCATTTCAATGATGGTGCATCCAACACTCCATATATCCGCAGAGCTGTGTTATTAATCAAATAATTCAGATGGAGAAATACAGTATTATTTAAGGTGGTTGGCAGACAAGGGAAAAGTCCAGAACAAGAAGTGCCTCTTTAGGGGAATACCGGTGATTAAAAAAAAAAAGCAAATCACAATTAACAAGTCAAAAGAACTAATACTGCATATCCTACATTTATCGTTGCGCTAATTCCCGGCTATCTTAAATAACTGCTTAATTATGCCACTGCAAGTAAAAAAAGCTATCCTTCACCAGTTACAATAATTGAGGTGTGTGTTTCTACTCACTAGCTATGACCGGTCTGAACAATAACTTCAGGAGCCATCCAATACGGAGTGCCCTTCATTGATTTAGCACCAGTTGCAGCAGCCTGCAGCAGCACTTAATACAGTTACGATGCAACATTTGCTGAGGAGGAACATGAAAAGTTTGCATAAAAGGAAGAATAACATACCAACGCTTCAACTTTCTTGGATGCTCCAAAATCAGCAAGTTTGATGCATGCCTTATTATCAACAAGAATATTTGCTCCCTAACAACATATCCAAAAAAAATTATGCTCAGACACCATGTAATGCTCTGCATCGTAGGAATAACAAATATCATAGAACAGAGAAAATACCTTTATGTCTCTGTGCATGATTTTGTTCTCATGCAGGTATTCTAGGCCTAACAACAGTTGTTTAGTATACATTCTGATAACCTGAAATATTAAATTTAGAGATAGGTTTCAAAAACTCTGAGCATAACAATAGGTTCCACACAAATCTATTTGGCGTACATTGTTCATTGCTGTAATTCAGTAGCTAAAATAAATAAATTATAACATATCATAACAACCATTTATGAGTTATAAATTTCAGCAGGTTGATTACATTTCATAGTAAGAAGGCTGTGCTGGGGCCTAAGAGGCAAATATTTGTCAAATTTATAACATCTGCCATACAACATAAGCTAATCACTTACAGATTCTGGAAAAGACCCAAACTTCCCCAAAAGAGATGAGATGGATCCTCCTGGGACAAATTCCAGTAATATATTCAACGAATCCTGCTCTCTAGCAGTTCCCAAGTATCTCTGAGCAATAAGAGAACATAGAACTCAGATCATAAACCGGGCACACTTGCATTATAACAATAAAAAAAATTAACTTGACTGACCACAATGTTTGGATGCGAGAGATTTTTCAATAGATTTACTTCTTTCTCGAGCTCCCTAATATATTCCTGAGAGAGAATAAGCTTATAATTTTGTAGAAATTGGAACTACATAAACAGAAAGATAAAATTAAAACACTTATCCCCGCTCAAAACAATAGCATTACCTGTGTTTTCTTTGAACCATTGTTTGTCGCAATTGCAACCTGGATTGACGAAGAGCCAGCAGAGAAAGGAACCCGATCAATAAATCAACAGAATATAGCCCAAATGAAGAAACAAACTAAAGTTCTGATTAAAGTTATCATTCCTATCTTAAAAGTAAATTGCTATAATATTCATTTATTTCTTTATTTACTATGCGGTTTTCAAGTATGATTACAAACTTCATGTCTTATACTAAGTGTGCATGAAATTTCGAGTATGTTTCCTCTTTCCTCAGTCGTATTGGCAATTGAGGATTTACAAAATTGAGAAGAAACTAATCACCTGTTTGACAGCTAGCAATTCGCCTGAATCGAGATTCATCCCCATGTAAACCCTCCCAAATGCGCCACACCCAATCATTTCCCCTTTCCTCCACCGGATTGGCGGCGGCAATAAAACCTCCTTCTTCTCCGACTCTTCTTCTATCGCTGCTTTTGGCACAGCCATTATGTCAATTTTATCAGTAACTCCCGATGCTTCATCTCCCACAGCGGCTTCTTCCATTGGCGGCAGCCCCTCCTCCTCCACCTTCACGCAATTTCTCTGCGGCGTCATAATTGGAGGCAACGCGGGATCCAGTGGCTTTGTAAACAGTCCAATTCGCGATTTCCGTATACTCGAGCCGATCTTATCCACGATTCCTCTGAACGCGGCCGGATCTTCTCCGGCGGATTTGAAAACTAGGGATCGGCGAACGGAGCCGACGAAGTCTTGCATCGGCGATGTGGTTGGAAGTGTGATTCAGCACAAGCTTTGTGGCAATAGTTTACGCCGGAGAGAATCTTAGGGCTTCTTCTCGGGTTCTGTTCATCTGAGATGAGAGGGAAAAGAAAAAGAGGGTTTGAAAAAAAAAACAAAAAAAAAAACGGGCAAGAAAATTTATTCGGATTTGACCCTAATATTTTTTTGTATTTGTATTTGAACCCCAAATAGATTTGAAAGTACTGAAGAATGAGCCGTTGGAATGAAATCTTAACCATTAAACAAAAACTTTGAAACAAATAAATATCTTTTGTGGGGCTTAGGCCCAATTGGCCCATAATAAAAGCCCGTTTTTAATAATAATAATAATTGTTTCACAGTTCACACACAGAGACACGCACTAAAACGTGAAAAACAGGGAAGTATTACAATTACTATCACACTGCAGAAGCCCCATTCCTCGCACGTTCCCCGACGCGATTATCCGACCAATCAATCTTCATCACTCTTCTCCCAATTGAATCTAGGGTTTCCGTAGTTCTGTTTCTTCATCCACCAATTAATAAATCTGATTGAAAAACCAGCTGAATTTTTTTGTTTTCGCCATAGATTCGGGTATGGAATCTTTGGTGGAGGCGACTTCCGGTGCGGTGGGTTCGCTGGTCAGCACCACCATTTTGTACCCGTTAGATACCTGCAAGACCAAGTATCAAGCTGAAAATCGATCACTCCTCCACACTAAATACAGGTTCTCTCTTCATTAAAATTTCAGTAATTTTTATGTGAATTTTGGTGTGTCTGTGTGTGTGTGTGTTCAATTTTCAGTAATTTTTATGTGAATATTGGGTGTGTGTGTGTGTTTGTGTTCAATTTTCAGTAATTTTCAGTATTTTCAGTAATTTTTATGTGAATTTTGGGGGAATATATGTAATCTGAATTTGATTTGCTTATATACTTTGTATAGGAATGTTTCGGATGTGTTGTGGGAAGCAATATCCACGCGGCAAGTAGTTTCGTTGTACCAAGGCCTGTGGACGAAGAACTTCCAATCTTTCATTTCGCAGTTCATTTATTTCTACGGTTACAGTTTTCTAAAACGACTATACTTGAAGAAAAGTGGATCTAAATCCATTGGAACTAAAGCTAACTTGATCATAGCTGCTGCTGCTGGTGCATGCACAGTCGTTGTGACACAGGCGAGTCGTTTTAGCAGTTTCATAACTCGTTGATTCATCGTGTGTATTTTATTTAGATAATATATTTTTCGTCGTCTTTTTCTTGAATGAAATACTATAGTTGGAATAATTTTTAGCATAGAAGGTCTCGTAGTAGTATTTTTATCTTGTGTTTTTCGAATATAGGTTGATTTCTTTATGCCATATAATATTTTCTCTGTCGTAAGTTGATTCTGTTATGTCATTGTATTTTCGAGTCACACAATTTCCTTATTATTATTTTTTTTATATAATTTCAGCCTTTGGATACAGCATCTTCGAAGATGCAAACGAGTGAATTTGGGAAATCGAAAGGGCTTTGGGAATCCCTTTCTGAAAGCACATGGACCGAGTCATTTGATGGTCTCGGCATCTCTCTTCTTCTCACAGCAAATCCTTCCATTCAGGTTGATGCTTCTCTTACTTTCGTATAATAATTGTCGCGGAAAATAATAAATAATATCTAATTTCATTCGTAATTATACATGTACAGTATACAGCTTTCGATCAGTTAAAGCAAAGACTGTTGAAGGAGAAAACAAGAAAACGGAGTAACGATATAACATCTCCAGAAGCACTTTCTGCGTTATCTGCGTTTATGTTGGGTGCAGTCTCGAAATGCATTGCCACCTGTATAACATACCCTGCTATAAGGTAAAACAAAATATCTTTCTTCCTTTCAGAAACTTTATATTATGCAGATGGATTTTAATTATTTGTACTTGATCAGGTGTAAAGTGATGATTCAGTCGGCAGATTCAGACGAAAATAACGATGGTAAATCCCAAAAAAAACCCCGTAAAACAGTGTCTGGAGCAATCAGTGCAATCTGGGAGAAAGAAGGAATACTAGGTTTCTTCAAAGGTTTACAGGCACAAATCTTGAAGACTGTCCTGAGTTCAGCATTGCTTTTAATGGTTAAGGAGAAAATCACAAAGTCGACGTGGGTTGTAATGATTGCACTTCGAAGGTTCTTGTTTAAAACCGAAACCCGATTGAAGAGTTCTTGAAGAAGGTCTCAGCCTTAAGTACCATGTGAGTTTAAGTATCAAGATTCAAGAATGTTTTTTTTTTAAATAATAAATTGTAAAATCAGTTATACAAGGTTAGGAACATAACTTATGTTTGATTATTTGATTTTTGCGAAATAAGCCACTATGTAATAAAAAGTGTAGAAGTGACAAAAGTTTTGTAAGCGAATCTCTCGAAATCTCTCCACGTTATAAATGCGTCTTTCTTGAATAGAGTTCTGATTATACAAATTCGAAATCCACGAGCTCCATAACAGCAACAAGTAAATATAGCAAATTTTCCGAAAATTTAGCTCTGAAAATCTCAATAATAGAATCGTTACACAAAGCAACAGCGGACGAAGAATATTTTCGCACTCGAGAAAATACGGAAAAATTCATGCCGAGGTATAACGCTTAAATCAAATCTAAAACTTCACAGTAACACGAAAAATCCGACGAGCAAAAACACTAAATAGCCAATAGGGTTAAGGCGGGACCCACCATTGTCCTTATTAGTGCCGACAGAGTAACTCCCCTCGGGTGTGTTCGTAGTCAAAACAACAACTATCCAATTACCTTCCGAGTTAACTCCTATCCCACTGAAGTTGGTGCTGTTTAGATACTCCGAGTACTGCGATTTAGTGAAATTGGAGATGACTAGGCTCGGATCTAGGTTCGGAACACAGGCTGGCATTATCTGGCCGTCTCGTGTGGTGGTTACATTCAAATGGCACTTTGATAGAAATTGAGGGAAGTTGGGGTACTGAGGCTCGGTGCCAGGTATGGTAGCCGAGCCTGTGGTGTTGGTACAGGGTTGACCTTTGAATTGGTCGGCAACTTCGCCAGCTAAGCATTCGGCTCTGTCGTTCTTGATTAGGGCTGTCAGGTTTAAGGATGCTCTGTACTGGTTGATTCCTTGGAGAAGATTGTCTTCTTCATCTGCATTTCGTAAATTATAAGATCAAAATCACGGTGCATCAAAAAAAAATTCGAGTTTTTGCGTTATCAAGATTAGTGTTAAAAGTCCGACTGAGTGATTGATTAAGCATATTAAGATTCGAAGCTCTCGATTAACTAACACATATCTAAATAAAAGATATGCAAACAATTATCACTCATTCAAACTCAGACTCATATAATTACCAAAAAACTAGAAATCGAGAATCGATGAACTAATCATTACCAGCTTCGAGCTGTAGCTTATTCGGCTCGACTAATTTCATTTACACACTCGAAAGGTAATTACTAATTCCAGATCTAATATAAAAGATGCCTTCATTTCATATGAAGCAATGCCTTTATTTTAGTTGTACCAAACTTCAAATGGAAGTCTACAATACAAGCAACCTTAATTCTAATCTTAAATAAATCATTTTTAAGGAAATTCATTATGAAAAAGAGAAGGTTAGATCTTAAACCAAAACATTAATTAATTAGTTAATTAATTAAACAGAGTACTAACCAAAAAATCTGGCCCTAACATAACCGACAGCAAATCCAATAACTAAAATGAAACTACATATTCAAGAAAATCAAGAAACTTGTCGGAGAAAACAATGGCAGATCTTCAAATCTAGACTCAAGCCAGAAATTTCACTGTTTTCTACTTAGTTCTTAACATCGCTCAAAATATTAAGACAAAGAAACAAAAAAAAACAGAGGAACCCTTTTGTCCTAAACATTGGTTATTGCACACAAAAAATAACTAACCCTAAAATAAACCTTAAAAAAAAAATTCAAGAAAATGTGGCAGCTGGAAAAAAAAAAAAGTGGTTTAAGTGTATTTACCGTCGCATTTGATAATGAGAAGAGAGTGGAAAAGTAGAGAGAGAAAGAGCAAATTCTTGAGAGAAGCCATTGATTGATTTTGTTCTTGAAAGAAATCTCAACCAGTGGAGAGAAGAAGGTTCTTTCTGGGCAGGACAAAGACTTGAGCTTTGCTCTTAGTGTGTGTGTGTGTGTGTGTGTATATATATATATATCTACAAATCTTGATGACGTGTAAATTTTTAGATTCTTGGTGCGGTGTCGTTTTTGTGACAGTTCATTTTCATAAATTGAATTTTTTGGTGAGACTTTAGAATTAAGATACTTGTATGTGCTCATCTTTCCCTCTTTTTCCTTTTCTTTTTCTTCTTTTTTTATTTTTTATTATTATTTAATTATGTCGGCTGAAAATAAACAATGCTATTTTTTTATTTTTTTCTAGCATTTAAAAAAAATTATTTGTAATGTCTGGGAATTTGTTTTGAATAGATAAGCACTTCATATGACATGGTTAAAAAACAGATTTAAAATATTAGTGTAATAATAATCAGAAGTTGGATTCTGACCAAATCTTGATCTAGATTACAATAAATAAATGATGAATTACTGTCACACAATAAGGTAAAATTAGATTACGAAAAATCCACTCATGTTTGGGTAATTACACAACTACCCATCAACCATGAATCTTCTTACAGATTCACCGTTCTTGTATCAAATTCAATGTAGAATGTTCTTTAATTTGTAATGTGCAAAATGCAGTTTCCGATGCACCATAATCTGATATTTAAAAACCAAGAGACACATTTTATGATCTCTTATTTTAAAATATAGAGTTAGAATAGGTAAAACGGATACAAACTGAAAAAATACATAATCTAGAAGATTTCACTAAATTTGATACCGCAACGGTGCACGTGTAAGAAGATTCATAGTTGACGGGTAGTTGTAATTACTCTAGCAAGAAGAGTTTTTTCGTAATTTGACCTTATATCAGGGTGTGGTCGTAATTTACCTAATAAATAAATGACTTTTTTTCTTGTGAAGTCGAGACGTTGAATGTCAAAACCATAAAATGTAGGGGTCAAATTGCAATTAACAAAAGTCAAAGAAGAGTTGCATCATGCATGAATGACTTGCGGAAATATTTCCTTTCCACCACAAAGCATTACAGTCAATACAAAAATAATTCCATTTTCATGAAAATGGTGATAAGAACCATTAAATCAAACCATGTTATATCAAGGCCTGCTCTTATTAATGAAAAACAAAATCTCCGAAAAGAAACAAACAAAACCGTGTATACTCGGTAAAGATTTATTTCCCCGTACCCGGAAGAAAAAAGAAAATTCACTTTAAATCTGGTCGAGAATAACGTCTCCACCAGAAACCTCGAATTCGGAGGGCGCCTTTTCCACATTGAGTGCTTTAATCTTGCCATCGACCACATAAGCCGACCACCTGTGCAAGAAACAAAAAATCAAAATAAATAAATAAATGAAAATCGACAACAGTTATTAATCAATATAAAGAATCAAGATTTGAGTTACCTATGCGATCGAGGTCCGAGTAAAGCAGCGGATAAATCTATAGACAAATCCAGCTTTTTGTGGAAGCTTCCATCAAAATCTCCATAAAATTCAATCTACAAACAACAAAAGCAGCTTCAATTCTTACCAACTTATATAGTTCATCACTTAGCTAACTAATTCGAAACAAGTTGAAACGTTTTGCTAAAACAACAAAATAAAGAAGATGCTAAATCGGAGTGATCCAAAAAAGTCAGCAAAATTTTATTGTTTCGATTCAAAATCGAGCACAAAGGGACGAGACGAACGAGTGCTACTTACATCTTCATTAGCCTGAAGTTTTTCTGCCCAGCCATTCAAAACATAGGGATCATTCACAGCTACACATATCACCGAATCGATTCCTTTCGCTTTGAATTTATCGATATTTTTTTTGTAGCTAGGTACATGCTGTGCTGAACAAACACCCGTGTATGCTCCCTACGGAATTGTGAAACCATGAGAGAGAGAAGTAAATCAAGATAGGTGTTATCCCTACTATACCTAATTTGTTTATCTAACACAGTATTTCAATCGATTTTGCGAATGTTATATCAAATAGTTCTTATGAATATTACGAATTTGTCCCATGCCGTTCGGCCAAAAAAAAGTCCTGATACACAATTTGTATTCCAGAACAGAGATTTAACCTAATCAGCTAAAATTGAAACCAATGTGATGAAAAATGAAAAATTAAAAGGGGATGCAAATTAATCAGAAGAATTCAATTAATTAACTTACAGGGAGGCCAAAGATTACGATTTTCTTGTCCTGCAAATTCAGCACAAAACATATAATTAATAAATCATCAAAAAAAAATTCATCTGAAAACCCTAAACAATAATCCTAAAATTAATTTTAAAAAATTTAAAAAAAAAAAACAAATATGTATAAATTCATTGAAGGAAATAGTGGAAACCTTGAAAATGTCTTTGAGAGAAGAAGTGGCGAACTTGGACGAAACGCCGTCGTCCCAAGAGCGAGCTTTCTGGAGGGAGACATCCGGTGCGGCGGATATCAAATCGGATCCCACTGCAACCGATGCGTACGCCCTCGAAGCTTGGAATCCGTTGACCATTGACCTCATCATCGCCGTTCGCTTCAGGATTACAGAGGAGGACGCCATAGCTTTTTTTCTCACTTCAATTTCTCTCTCTTTCTTCTATTTTCTCTGTGTTGCAGAGCAGATGAAGAACTGATTGAAATGAACCAAAAAGCGCTTTTAGCTCTGTAGAAAGTAGGTTACGCTAAAATCGCGTTTTACAATTTCTCACTTCCAATTAATTAACGATGAATTAATTAACTTTATTTGTCTCCAAAAAAAAAATTAATTAACTTTATTTATATTTTTAATTGCATGAAACAAGTCGATAATTAGATTATCTTCCGTTTGATTTTTTTTTAAATGTGACTGGTTGATTTTTTTTTTAATGTGACTAATTACGAAATTAGGATACGATTATATTGAATATGTATTATTAATTTATTGTATTACAAGTAATTATTATTTATGTATGTGTTTATGTAGCAAATATTAGAAATTGTGACTTATTAGTGTTCTTAAAATTTGTGCACTCACAATAATAATTGATGTTACAATTAATACACAATCATCCACGAAAAAATAAAGCTCCAACCAGAACAATATTATAATAATAAAAAAAAAAAAAAAAAAAGAAGCTACAAATCGAGACCCGAGATTCCGATTTATGTTCGGGTGTTAGTTGAACGCCACTTGTCAATGGCGCCGTACCAGTTCCACTGGAAAAACAAGCCGGCAAGGCGCATTAAACCAGCTGTGGTTACCTCAACAAACGCCATCAGAAACGATCTTTGAGGCGAAAGACCAGCAGTTGCTACAGAGAGCAAAAAACCCTCGAAATTGCAGGGAACGATAAAAGTGCCCGATTCGATTCCGTTCAAAGACTTCTTAGCCACTTCATCGGCTTTCATTGCCCCAGATGATGCAGCTATTATACTCGTTAGCTGTGGCCTTCTCTTCGTCTCTGTCAATTCGCAGAGAAATTTCAATATAGAGAAAATTAAAACATCCACAAGATAAGTGCACATTTTTCATGAAAATCGGATTCTAGCTGTAGTGATGGGAGTTGACTTTCTTATGAACCAAGATTTTTACTTGCATGAAGAACATGAAAATCCGAAAACCCAAAAACTCGAACCCAAAACCAAACCAAAACCAAAACCGAAACCGAAAACCGAAAACCGAAAAAGAGCATGTTAAATACTTGTCAATAAGTTAGTGGGATTTTTTTTACCTTCGACCAAACCAGGTGTGTCGGTGTCTGGAGGGAAGATGAGAGATACATGAATGTTGTCTGATATAATCTCTTGTTGAAGTGCTTCTGCCAAACCCTTTAGCCCAAACTTACTAGCTGAATAAGCTGTATAACCGTATATACCAACCTTGTACCAAATTAACCAAAAATTAATCCAGAAAAGACGAGATATTATTCAGATAGAGAAGAAATCCACAAAACCAAGAATACTACTGCAAAAGTCGAGCAAAATAGCATTAATGCAAATTATACGTCACTGGCTTATGCATTTGCATACAAAACCGAACATCGTCCAAGTGGGCATTTCCTGCGTTTTCTTGAAATTGGATAAGGAATACCGTTTTTCCCAAATACATAACCCAATGACTTTCAACTTTCAAGCTACAATCGAATATCTAAATCTACAAATAACAAATTAAATCAAACACGTAAATTTGCCATCTAATGCAGATTGAAAAATAGGTTATGTCATCGTCTGAAAGAATGTCTTCCCTTGATAATCCTAAGCAACCAACGATTCTCACAAGACGAACACCAGCCTCGTTTAATGTGTATCAACCAGAAACTAGTTTATATTTAACTTCACTCTTTCGAATTGCGTTTCGAATTTCGATAATGAATAGATATAATGCACCAATCGACTAAAATCCCCCAAATTTTCTGAAATCAAAGTTCGAAACCCTAATCTCGAACAATTGGATCTGATCTACCATATAATCAATAAAATAGAAAATTAAAATCAAAAACATTTTGGTGCTTGGTGATTAATTTAGTTCATGTTCTACCTGGCCCGCCTGAGAAGACATGATAGCAATCGAACCCGGGCCCAATTCGGCCCGATTCTTCTTCATACCGGGCAACGCCGCCTTAATCAAATGGAAAGTCCCCATCAAATTCACATCCACCATAAACTTGATCTCCTCGATCTCCTGCTCCGCCAGCTCCTGCGGCACGAAAACCCCATGGTTACACACGAGGACATCGATCGGGCCGGCCTCCTCGACCGCCCGCTTGACGGCGTCGTAGTCCCTGACGTCAGCGCTGAAGACGCTGACGTCGCACCCGGTGGCGAGCTTGATGGATTGCTTGGCCTCCTCGAGCTTGGCGGCGTCGCGCGCGAGGAGGGAGACGCTCGCGCCTTGTCGGGCGCAGAGGTGGGCGAGGGAGAGGCCGATGCCGCTGGAGCCGCCGGTGATGAACACGTGGCGGTTTTTGATTGGGACGCGGGCGGGCTTGGGTCGGACGATGAAGTAGAGGAGGAGGAGGAGGGCGAGTGGGACGATGAGGATTAGGGAAGAGAAGGAGATGTACACTCCCGCCATTGGAGGAAGCTGAAATTTTCTCTCTCTTGTGTGTTTTTTTGTTTTTAGAGAGAGAAGCAAAGCACAATGTTTTATGCTTTGTAGTGTGGTTGTATATCTATGAATTTTTTTATTTTTTTTAAAATTGATTTTTATGTATAACCTTATTTTATCATAACTAATTTATATTTTCTTAAATAAAATTAAAACAATTAAGATAAAGATTAAAATATGAAACCTTGAAAAGAAACAATCACTGCAATTAGAGAGAGGCACCAACCTTAGTTGAAAAACCTCTGCAAATAAAATACATATATTTTCTACATATTATTATTATTATTATTATTATTATTTTTATTATTATTATTATTATAATTATTAATATTATTATTATTACATGCCACATGAGAAAGCTCTTTTGATTTATGATCAAAAGAAGGCCTTGGATGAAACTTGTTGTTCAACTTTCCTTGCTTGTTGTAAGTGTTTCTCCTTCTCGGAAACGAAGAATGAGGAATAAAAACTCCGGTCCCTTTACTACACGATCTTTCTGGATAGATCGACTGCGCAAAAACCTGACGAAAACCACGAGAACAAGAAAAAAAAAACGGAACTTGCATCAAGATCTTAATTAACTTGAGATTCTCAAAGACATTTATTTACAACTGTTGGCTCATATTGTACAAGTTGTAAAAAGATCGAAGTTTCTAACACGTAAAATAAGTACCCGTGGATTTAGTGACGGATGGTGAGCGATTAGTGATTCGTCACGTTCGTCGTCATCCATTATCATAAGAGATATTTGCTTGCTCATATCTGCAAAGAATACATCATATTCTGATTCCAAAGCTGCTTCCATGTGTATCTATATATATATGTGTGTGTGTGTGTGTGTGTGTTTTATGAGAATTAACTTGATATTTCTTCTTAAATAGAGGGTAAAAAAATGGCAAAAGTTGATGGGGGTTCAAATATTAGTATAATGAGATGGGCATGTGAGTTCAATTTGTGGGGTTCATCAAGATATCAAATCCTGAACTTTTGGGATTTGATCGAAGATCGCAACCGTTAATTTAGTCCGATTTTATCATGGATGAACGGTCACGATTGTATCTATAATATCCACCCTGGCACAATCCAACAAGAATATTATAACATTCAATGTTCTGTCTTAGTAACATTATCCAGCTGGAGATTATCTGATCCAAGAATGCATACATGGTTGTGGATGTATAACCAATATTCCCCCCTCATCCAAATATACATACATGGTTGTGCATATACATATATATACATTTCACACATGTGAGTGAAAATTAGTCGGAATTTCTAATCGATTCGCGCTTGAGAAAGAGAGCATAGAGTAGCTCGTTCCAAGTATCGGGAACTCCCGGTAGACACCAATGGCTGCAATCCTGTTTACGGAGAGGTGCGGGCCCCTTATTCGGGCCCAAGTAGTACAAAGACAAGTGCCCATCTTTTCTTCTTGATGACATATGTGTTATATTTAGGACATTTATTGTTGCACTAAAGTTGTATTGATCCCAATTGTTTGATGATGGTAATGAAGAATTAGAACCCAGTGTCGGAAGCGTCTCCATGTGACATGATCCCCCCGTTTTCCAATTCCCGCCCCTAAAAAACCAAAAAAAAAGGAAAAAGATTTGAATTTTACGCGCAAAAACACACGCATCCATGTTGGTGTGTGTGTGTGTGCGCGCGGGTACACACACGAACGAAAGGTAGATCATTACGCAAAGTGTATGGGAGCGTATGACCGATAAAATACTTGCGTCTTGTTGGTATTCACTTCTTCGCCTACCCATCGTATAACGGTCTCTAACGACTTACGGTAGGCCCCGTCAACTGTCATATTCATATTCACCTCGGAACCTTCTTGGAAGTAACATCCTCTGATAAATCCACAAAATTTAATCAGCAAATTTGAAATTTCGAGCCAGCATAGAGTCAAAGGGGGCCATGGCCCCCACCATTTTTCCAAAACTTAGAAAAAAATTTATAATATTTTTCAAGTATTGTATGAATTAACGCACCCTAAAAGAACGTTTTATACGACAGATTATTACCCTCTTAGAGTCTTCTCGTAGCTCCACCAATGCCCTGAGTTGAATACGAGCACGTCTGCATCTCTCCATTTAGACGAACTCCAATCCATTTTATCTAGTTTTAAGGTTGTTCGAATCTCCGACGAAACGTTAGGTGGGGCCCGGCCTTGCACGACGAGAAACGGGGACTTGTAGTACTCGACGGTGCAGTTATAGTCTGCAAACTTGAAAGCCAAAAATCCTTTGTGCTTTGTGATGGGACTGCCGTTCACCTCGTAAACGGAGTTCTTGTCGGGAACTGCGGACGACAGCATGCAGAGCAAAGATTCCCATTGGTTTCTCCCGATCGAATCTCCCACGAAAACTAAGCGTTTATTTCTCAGTTTTTCTAACATAACCTTTGCATCAAATCTGTCTCGTTACAATAACTAGATTATAACCACACACAATTAAAAAAATTTAAAAAGTAAAAAAAAAATTAAAAAAAATGTAACCTTGGCAAGTTGCAATTCTTGGGTTGCCACCTCCACTTTGTGTAGTTAAAATCCGGTCTTCCATTTTCAGAGCATCTGAACCCTCCATCCATGAATTCGCAATCATTGGATTGGTACAAAGGATAACTATCGTCCCACGACCAATCACCGTCAAACATGTCGCACCCGCCACCAAATTCACTCAAAAAATCGATCTTTTTCTTATTTACATGATTTCCACCATTGTAGAAACTGGGAACATTGGCTACTCTGCTGTAATCCAATAAAATGAAGCAAGAAAACAAAAGCACTGTGAATCCAAGGACTCCCAACGAGGGATTGAACAGCTTGAAACGCTTCAATTTCTTGTAAGAATCTGTAAAATAATTGGCCTTGGAGTTTTCGGCCGATGGCGGGATTTCGCTCATTTTGTCAAATTTGAACCAAGATTCGATTTTTATTAACTTCTACGAAGAAACAACTACAGAAGTCATTACAGTGTGTGTGTGTCTTGATTGTTTTGGTTTCTTTACTTGCTTAGAAGTATTCTTTCATCAGTGTAATCAGTTACAACAGAGAGAGAGAGAGAGAGGGGAGAGAGAGAGAGAGAGAGAGAGAGAGAGAGAGAGAGAGAGAGAGAGAGAGATGAAGAAACCAATTGCAGCGACCCACGTTGTTGTTGCATTTGCTGACATGTTAGAATTCGACGTGCACTATAATGTCATAGCACTAACATACATGTGTGTAAATTGTAATCATAAAGTACATCTGTATCTCACATACAATTAATTGAAAATATATTTTCTATTTTCCACTTTTTAAATTTATGTGAAAGAAAATTTATCTTAGCTTAAAGTCCTAGATTATGACACAACTCAAACAACACGTGGTCCATATGTTCCATGTGAATCTGCTTGTAATAACACTTGACATTAGCATAAACAGAAAAAAACAACCAGCGAAAAATGTAATTATAAATAAAGCACAAGATCCCATTTTGTCAAGAGTTGAGACATTTAATCCTAAGAGTTTCAACACATAAGCCAAAGTTAGATATTACAAAATGCAAGGAACTACACTTTCCATAAATTTAAGGTATTGCATGCGCCTGACTAACCCTTCCTCTAGCTCTCCTCGGAAATCCAGAAACTTCTGCACAAACGAACATTATCATGCGCTTAGCGTTGGTTAAAAACCGTACATTACAAAATTGAAAAATATATCACCTTGTATTCGACAGTCTTATACATACTACACATGTAACATTTACACCATAAATTTAAACATAATCAAACACACACACACACACACACACACACACACACACACACACACACACATCCATGTGGATGTGTGTGCATAACAAATATATTACACGAGTGTAGGCTAGAAAATCATCCAGTGAAATTCACCCGACGTAGAGCATGAAATAAAACTGTACTGGGCATACCATTCACACAAATAATGTTTCCTATTTCTCATCATAGACTATCTTTCCATCATCCCATTCCTTAAGCCGACGAAAACCAATAAATAGGAGTATAAAAATCATAAACAAATCAAAAATATCGTCACACAATCAAGCCAAACAACCAAAAGCACTTCAACTCATATTGTACAGGACAGAAAAAAAAGGAGAGGAAATAATAGGTACTCAAATTGGAAACGACAGTAAATCGTAAATCAAACCTTCTCTCAAGAATCTCCAGGTGGAGCAGGCTGCTGCGGCCACATCTGCTGAGTCATATAAGGACGAGGAGGTGGCTGCTGACCGTACATCGTGGGGTCCACAAACATCCCCGGACCACCAACCGGTGGGCCCCCCACCTGCGGCTGCATGTAATAGTAAGGAAGCCCTTCTGCAGGAACAGGTCCAGCTGGCATAGATCCAAGCACTTCATCTCTCAAATCCTCCCTCGGCACAATATCCACAAGGAAATCGAATATATCAGTCCTTGTAATAGCAGCTGCAATATCGTTCTTCTGCAGAGTCCTCCTCCTATTCTCCTCCGTGTGGTTCCACGACCGAAGAGTCAGCTCGAGTATGAACATTTCGCAGGCTCGGGCGAAGATCACTGGAGCTTCGGCAGATATCATTCTTACATCCTCGTCAGCCTTCATGATCTTCTTGATCCTGGCCAATGGAAGGCTGTGGTTCTTGAAATCTGTCACTTGGTCGATTTCCTCGTACTGCTTTGCCCAGAAGCTTTGGAGCTGCTGCTGCAGTTGCTGCTGCTGCTGAGGGTTTATGTGCGGGTAGGCAAGCTGGTGTTGGGTGGGGGCCATTTGGGTAGGAGGGGGGGCAGTTTGAGTGGAGCCCGCCGGTGCAGGGGGTCTAGTTATTTGGTTGGCTTGATATGGGGGTACACCATAAGGAGTCTGTCCGTTTCCTTGTTGCTCCATGATGATCGACTCAGATTTTGGAGTTCTTGATCTACTGAAATGTGAGAGTTAAAGAGTGACGACTTTGGATGTAGCTAAAAAAACAAGATTAGGCATCGGGTTTTTTTACTCGGTATTTGTAACTATACAGGTGCCTATGTTTACTACACATTTTTGCACACATCCACGACTGTATGTGTGATTGCGTGTAAATCTACCTACAGTGAGATGCTACTCAGGATCAATTAATTCTTTAAAATCATTAAATGCTATCTAGAAAGTTGTATCCATATACAAGGCACTACCGAATTAGCCTCACAATATATGTATCTAGTTTAATTTCTTTGTTTAGTTTCCATTAATCATAAACCATACTCAATACAGTGAAACATTGGTAGAACTACCTTACAGTAAGCAGCATAAGAAACTTCTCAATTACCCCTCCTGTACCTTTGAATTACATTTTCTTTTAGATAACGACAGCCCGGTATTGTATTTTCCATCACGAGTCCCTAGCTGAACTATGCTAATGTTGATAGAAACCGAATAATACACCAAATATAAACCCTTCGAAAACTTTTAAAAATATGCCATACATTGTATTCCACAATAGTGACAGCACCGATAAGCACACACAGACATGGAGACAAGCATGTAAAGGCGCAATTAATACTTCTTAAACAAAATTTAAGTTGAAATTCCAACTTCATTCCAGTGACGAAATCGTCAAACATGGAGACAAAAAACTTCAAAAAAACTCCAATTTTTTTCCTATTCCGAGCAGTTGAATATTGAAAATTGCTTAAATTGGTGCAAGTAAGAAACAGCAATCAAGCTAGGCTTTCGGGTAAATAGATTCTTCGACCCAAATGAATTCTTCGCCGATGTAATTATATAGATACAGCTTGATGAGTGTATATATACATACATATTGATTTACAGGAAAGTTCACCACAAAGTCACAATAATTCCAATTATAGTAATACTGCCTTTTAAAGTACAGACCTTTTTTTTTTTTTCTTTTCCTTCATCAATCACTCACTTTAACTAAGCTAATGTTGACACAAATTACAAACAATTGAGCTCATATAAATGCTCAATTCACATCACTTCAGCACAAATAGAAGCAAAAATACAATTTTTCCCCAAATGTAAAAACCCTTGAAAACTATATGAAAGCTTACACCACACACAGTTTCCACAAAAATGACGTCACACGCACACACACACAGAGAGAAGCTATAACCTAAAATCTCACAAAAATGGCGACGCAACTTTTGAAATTAAAAAAATTAAAAAATTGAAACAAAAGAGATCGTTTTTTTTTTACCTGTGCGTTGCAGTTGAAATTGGTCAAAATCGGTTCCGAGCGGGGAGACAGTAAGCAAACTAGGGTTTTAGGGTAAATAGATTCTTCAAAATCCAATTGGAATTCATTCACCCCCCTATGCGATTATATACGTACAGTTTTTGTATACGTATAGATTGTACAGGTGTACACCACAGAAAAATGGGTTCACCAAACTCTCAGAGAATTTATTATTCAAATATTAATTAATTTCTTTCTATATCCTGAATTCCTGATTCCCTTTTAAAAAAAAGAAATATAATATATATTATATATAAACAAAAAAAATTATTAATGTTAGGGGAAATATGCAAAACCCCCCTCAAACCATAAATATTATGAGTTAAACCCATTTGACTTTTAAGACTTTTGCCCACACCCAAAGTCCAATTTTAATTAGTGAAACCCCCCTCAACAACTTTGATAAGACGAAACTACCCTTATCAGTAGTTTTTAAAATAATTGCAATATTTATTTTCCATAACCGTCTCACGTGATTGTAGGATTACATTAATTCTCTCCATATATCTCTCTTTCATTCTCTATCTCTTTCTCACCCAACTTCTCTTTTTTTTTTTCTTCTTCTTCAGCCCATAATCCTCCATCACTCGCCAATGGACACCACTCAGCCGCACACGGCGCCGGCGCCGGCGCCGGGTTTGATTCTCCTTCCGAAGAGCGAACGAAAAAAAAGGAAAAAAATCAAGTTTTTAAGATGCAACAGTTTTCGTGCAGAGGCCAGATCGGAAGATCTAACCATCGGATCGGGTTGATATTTTTACACATGATTCGTAACACATAAATATAACTCATGAACGGTGGAGATCGGAATCAGAGTTCTCTAAATATAGATCGGATCTTAAAACTCGTTGCTGGTTTTTATTACTGAATAATTCATGGCAGCTAGATTGGACGCGTTTTTTGTACAATTGAACCGTTGGATGTGGCCTAAATTTGGATAGAGTATTAAGAGTATATATTTTTATATACTGTACGAAGGAGATTGAATTTGGTGCCCCCTAACTCCGGATATAAATTGTGAAAGTATCACAATTCGGTAGTCACATTGTAGTCACATACTCATGTTTTTTTTTTGTAGTGCTGCGCATCATGTCGTCAACCTTGATGATTCTGTTAAAGCATGGAGTGTCGTTTGGGGTGAAGATATGCTAGGGTGATTTTGTGTATGAAGACCACGCCCTCTGTCTCGTTATTTTTCTATCTTTATTTATGTATTTTTCGATTTTTTTTCCAGATCTGAACAGCAGTAGTAACATGACTATAGCCATATTCGAATATGACTATAGTCATATTTAATGTATTTTTCGAATATGACTATTCAAGTTGACTTCTAATAACAAGATTCAAATTGTGATTTTTTCTGTGGATGTTGATTGAATTGTTTTCGTAAAAAATAGGGAATCTTCGTTGTTTTATATGATTTGGTTATTTATATGATTTGGTAAACATGACTATGCCATATAATCGGAACTTTTAAGTTCAAAATGTAAAAAACAACAATATAAAGAAATAATATGACTACAGTTTATAGTCATACATAGTCATATTCAACCATATTCATATTCGGCGTTGCAAACCTGTCGAGAGAAAAATTTCAATTTTTTGTTTAAAAAAAGTTTTAAAAAAAATCTAAAATAATATTTTTATTAAAAAATATTAAAATTAAAAATAAATTCAAAATGACTAAATAAAGTCCAAAAATAATATAAAATTAAAAAATAAAAATAATAAAATCCGATTATTTTTTTATTTTATTTTTTTGATTTCGTAGCAATTTTTTAGGAATTTGGAACATATTTTTAGGAATTAAATTGTTTGGAAAGAGAGAAAAAAGGAATAATTGAGATAAATTAGGGAAAATATATAATTAAGCCTAATTAGCATAATTAGGTGCCTCATTAATAGGGATTTCGAAATTACTGGATAATTAAAAAAAACGTGATACACTACTAGAGGGGTAAGATTGGAAATAAATATTTTAGGGGATTTTCACAAAGAAAGAATTATGGTATGGACATATCACTAGTTTTTATCTAAAGGAGGGGTGTATTGCTAATGACCCCTTAATGTTATGTACACATATAATAATAAAAAGGGTCAATTACAAACACCCCCTGAGGTATGGTCAAATTACAAAAAACCCCCTCTTGTTTGGATAATTACATCTACCCCCCTCAATAATTGATTTCTATAATTGGGCCTAACCAAATTATCCAATCCACCAACTTCTTCTTATTACCAAAAGGCCCATAATATTGCCCATCTTGTTTAGTTACTTAATCACTATAAATATTAAATAATTAAAAAAATTATCAATTGATACGTGGCCTAATTGATTTTAGTGCTCCACTAATTCATATTAATTAATCACATGGCGACAAAAAAAAAATTGATTTCTATCTTCTATCTTTCTACAATATTAAAAAATTTAAATCATCTAAAAAAAGGAAAAAAAAAACAATTAAATATCTAATTCCACTAAGCTCTAAGATTTATAATTTGGGTCCAAAAGTAATTAAACCTAACTCCACAATCCAATAATTTAAATTTCGAAAGTGTAGTAGTTCTTTTTTTATGTAGTGTGTGTGGGTCAATTTAGTGGCGTGTGAAAAGACAAAAAAGGGCTTTGACTTTGACCACGAGTCACAAGTAACATGTGCAGTGGTGATGTTTTAAACACTGCCCATCTTTCCCACTGACAGAAATGGCTGGCCGGCAATGCGTTTGGCACCATCCCCAGCACGTGACTTCATACAAGTCAATAAAGCCTTTTTTAATTATTTTTACCTTTTTTTTTTTTGGGGAAACTACAGATAAATCCCTAATCCAAAACTCAACACACAGATCAGTCCCTAGGTAGTTTCCCCAAGCAATTCAGTCCCTATTCACGCGTCTGACATGCAGTTCAGTCCCTAATGTGAATTTTATATATTTTATTATATTCTCTCTCTTCTTTTTCACTCTCACCCTTTTCTCTCTCTTCTTTTTCTCTCTCTTCATCTTCTCTTTCTTTCTTCTCTTTCTTCTCTGTTTCTACTGCTCTCTTTCTTCTCTATTTCTTCTCTCTTTCTCTCCTCTGGTTTCCTCTTTTTCCGACGAAAAAATCACTGTAAAACCCACCCACCCCACAATGGTTTCGAATCCCGGAAGGTTATTTTACTGTTGCCCACACCATGGCTACTCCCATTGGTGTGAACCATTTGAAGTTGGGCAAACTTTTTCCAACTCAAATCGTGAAGAAAATGAAGCTACAAGTGCGTCGATGAACCAAGTCCATCAAGAAAGTGAAATGAAGAATTGCAATTCTGAAGGTGGAGTAGTTCATAGTTTGATAGTGTTGAATCTAGTAATATTTGCAGTCTACATGCTATGTAAAACCTATGTACTGTTGTTTAATTAGTGAACATAAGAGTACAATGTATAAGCTGGTAAAGTTCGGGTTATTCGTGAATATAGTACGCTTTGTCCACCAAATAAGTACAATGTATAAGCTGGTAAAGTTCGGGTTATTCGTGAATATAGTACGCTTTGTTCACCAAATAAGTAAAATGTATAAGCTGGTAAAGTTTGGGTTATTCGTGAATATAGTACGCTTTGTTCATCAACTAAGTACAATGAATACACATGTGAAGTACAAGTGATTCGTGACTATAGTACGATTTGTTCACTGATAAAGTATATGTTTGCCATTTATATAGTATTGTTACAGTCTATATATTATTGTCGGTCCAATGCATCCATATGATCGCATTTTAAGACACAACTCTTCATTTTAAGACTATTAAGAATGAATGGAGACAATGTGGGAGTTGATCAATATCGATTATGGTAACAATTGAAGAAAATATTAGTTTTACACTTGAGCATTGTAGACATGTATGAAATTCAACATATTTATGGGATCTTGTATTCCAAACGCAACAATAATTCTCACCTACCTTAAAATAACCATCTAAAACATAATTTATGCATCTCCAGTACTTATTGATCATTAAAGCGTCAATGAAATTGGTACAATGCAATTCATCAAAAAATATGGTACGCTTTGTTCATCAAGTAAGTACAATGAATACACTTGTGAAGTACAAGTGATTCGTGACTATAGTACGCTTTGTTCACTGATAAAGTATATGTTTGTCATTCATATAGTATTGTTACACTCTATTTATTATTGTCGGGCCAATGCATCCATATGATCGCATTTTAAGACACAACTCTTCAGTTTAAGACTATTAAGAATGAATGGAGACAATGTGGGAGTTGATCAATATCGATTATGGTAACAATTGAAGAAAATATTAGTTTTACACTTGAGCATTGTAGACTTGTATGAATATATTGTATAGTGTATGAGTATCATGTATGAAATTCAACATATTTATGAGATCTTGTATTCCAAACGCAACAATAATTCTCACCTACCTTAAAATAACCATCTAAAACATAATTTATGCATCTCCAGTACTTATTGATCATTAAAGCGTCAATGAAATTGGTACAATTCAATTCATCAAAAAATATGGTACGCTTTGTCCATCAAGTACGTACAATGAATACCCTTGTGACGTACAAGTGATTCGTGACTATAGTACGATTTGTTCACTGATAAAGTATATGTTTGCCATTCATATAGTATTGTTACACTCTATTTATTATTGTCGGGCCAATGCATCCATATGATCGCATTTTAAGACACAACTCTTCATTTTAAGACTATTAAGAATGAATGGAGACAATGTGGGAGTTGATCAATATCGATTATGGTAACAATTGAAGAAAATATTAGTTTTACACTTGAGCATCGTAGACTTGTATGAATATATTGTATAGTATATGAGTATCATGTATGAAATTCAACATATTTATGGGATCTTGTATTCCAAACGCAACAATAATTCTCACCTACCTTAAAATAACCATCGAAAACATAATTTATGCATCTCCCGTACTTATTGATCATTAAAGCGTCAATGAAATTGGTACAATTCAATTCATCAAAAAATATGGTACGCTTTGATCATTGACTGCAATCTTCTTTTACATCAATTCCTGCAATTACATACACATAAAACTACAATTATAACAAATACAACGTACTATAAAGTTCCACATGTCAATACCATCCAAAGTTACTCGTAATACCATTCAAAGGCACTAGTAATACTATTATGGCATAAGACTTATACTACAGGACCATC